TTTTTAAGGTTTTTTTTTTATTTATTTCTAGGAGAGAGAGAGAGAGAGAAAGCGTGAGCAGGGGAGGGTCAGAGAGAGAGGGAGTCACAGACTGAAACAGGCTCCAGGCTCTGAGCTGGCAGTCAGCACAGAGCCCGACGCGGGGCCCGAACCCACGAACCGCGAGATCATGACCTAAGCGAAAGTCGGACGCTTAACCGACTAAGCCACCCAGGCGCCCCTACAGATAACATTTATGTGGGTAGGATATTGAAATATTATATCAATATGCAAAAGGACTGATTTAACCATAATGAGAGAATTACAGACTGCTAAATGTGTGCATGGTCCTGTCTTCCTCGGTAGACAGTTAAGAGGTAATACTTGAAATCAGGGGAAAAAGAGGAGAATAAGCATCCTATATAGAAATATGAAAACAAACACCAGTGAAAAACACATAAAAGATTTTAAAGTTGTGTCTGCAAAGATGGAGTCAAGACTGAGAAGGGCCTGGGGGCCTTGGTGGCTCAGTCAGTTAATTGCCAGGCTTCAGCTCAGGTCATTATCTCAAGGTTCATGGATTCGAGTCCTGCATCAGGCTCTGTGTTAACAGCTCAGAGCCTGGAGCCTGCTTTGGATTCTGTGTCTCCCTCTCTCTCTGCTCCTCCCCAACTCACGCTCTGTCTGTCTCTCTCAAAAATAAATAAACATTAAAAAAAAAAAAAAGATTGACAAGGGCCTGGTATTTTCCTAAGATTGGAAAAACACAAATCATAAAGTAAAAGATCGAAAAATCTGACCCTTAAACAAGAGTTTGACCTGTGAAGGCCTACTTGTGTATGGATTTTTTTTGGTAAAGTCAGTCCAGCACTGTAAAAGTATTGTCTCTTCCTTATGATTTTCTTAATAACACTTTTTTCTAGCTTACTTTATAGTAAAAGAAGGGGCACCTGGGTGGCTCAGTCAGTTGAGCATCCAACTTTGGCTCAGGTCATGATCTCACCACTTCCTGAGTTAGAGCCCCACATGTGGCCATGTGCTGACAGCTCAGAGCCTAGAGCCTGCTTTGGATTCTGTGTCTCCCTCTCTCTCTGCCCCTCCCCTGCTTGTGCTCGGTATCTCTCTCTCTCTCTCTCTCTCAAAAATAAACATTTAAAAAAATCATAGTAAAAATAACAAAGAGTTAATACAGAAAATATAAAGAACTGCCACAAAGCAATTAAAAAAAAATAATGAAGGAAAGGAAGTGAAATAGGAAATAAATAGGCAATTCATAGAATGCACCCCCTACCCTAAAAAAAATCTGAAAAGATATTTAACCAAGAACCAGTCAGGGAAATGCAAGTTAAAACAATAAAATACTATTCATTCATTGACTAGTATTTATTGAGCACCTGCCAAGCACTCTCTATCCCAACTACTTGGGATATATTAGAACCAAAGAGACAAAAATCCCTCCCCTTGTGGAGTTTACAGTCTAGAAAGGGTAGTCAGACAATAAATACACAGAAAGTAAATTCTGTAGGATGTCAGAGGGTGATGAATGCCGTGGATCAAGTTGAGGAAGGTGTGGGATGGATCAGCAGCATGGGAGGAGGAGATGGTGGAAGGCAAACTGCACTATTAAACACAATGGTCAGGCTGGGCCTCACTGAAAAGTAAGATCTGAGCAAAGACTTGAAACAAGTCAAGGAATTTGCTTAGTGGAGATCTGAAGGAAGGAAGAATAGTCCAGGTAGAGGGGCGCTTGGTCGGCTCAGTCAGTTAAGCATCCGACTCTTGGTTTCAGCTCAGTCAGTTAAGCATCCAACTCTTGGGTTTCAGCTCAGCTCATGATCTCGTGGGTTCGAGCCCCACATGGAGCTTTGCGCTGACAGTATGGAGCCCGCTTGGGATCCTCTGTCGCCCTCTCTCTTGGCTCCTCCCCTTCTAGTGCACTCTCTCTCTCTCTAAAAATACATAAACATTAAAAAAAAAATCCAGGTAGAAGGGTCAAATAGAGCAAAGAACAGGAGGCAAGATGCCTACCATGGTCAAGGAACAAGGTCAGTGGGGCTGAAGCACAGTGAAGGGCAGCGTAAGAGAGGGGTGTGTCGGGTGACAGGCCTTGTCACATTAGGCAACATAGATTTTCCTTTGCATGAAACAGAAAACCACTGCAGGTTCTGAGCAGAGGCCTGATGTCACATAATATTTTAAAAGGAACACGTCAGCTACTGTGTTACGACATCATATCAGCCGAACACCAAATGTCCGTAAGGATGTAGAGAAGGAAGATTCTCATGTATTTCTGGTAGGAGTACAAACTGGTTGCAGTCTTTCCTTCTGAACAGCAAGATGGGCAAACGTGCCTAAGTCTATTCTCTTTAGTTCCTATATATGTTCCTATATGTGAACACAGAAAGACTCAAGTATGTCTGATGTAATGCTATTTGTAATGGTGAAAAACTAGAAGCCTTGATGTTCACTGATAGGACAGTGGATAAATGAATTTTGGACTAGTCATACAATGAAAGATATAAATGTTAAAATGAACGGGCTAGAGCTACATATGCCAACATAGATAAATTCCAAAAACGTAATGGGGGAAAAAAAGGCAGGATACAAAAGAAATCATACAGCAATTTAATTTATACACCATCAAAACATCTAAAAATACTATATGTGTTTACAAGTTTATGTATTTATATGTTTATATACATGTTTACACACATTTTTGTATGTAGAAAGTGCACATATATATACAATATACACATGTAGCTATGTGTACATGTAGAAAATATAAAACGTGCATGGAAATAAGTACCACAATCAAGATATTGGTTACCTCTGAAGAGCGAGGGGAACAGCTTCAGGGAGGGTACCCAGAGTTTCACCTACAGTTGTAACATTATTTCTTGGCGTTGGGGTGGGTGGGGGAAGAATGATGCTGTTAGGGCCTAATATTAAAATATGATAAACGTGGGTGGTAGATACAAGGTGCCCATTATACTTTTTGTATTTTTCTGCATGTAATTTGTTTAAAATGAACCAAAATAAAAAGCTAACAATACAGAACAGCAAGGTCCTGTTGGGTCACAAAAGAGACTCCATGGCTCTCAACCTGTGTGTGTGACTGGCTCACAGATGGCACTGGAGCAAGCCCTCCACAGATCACACATGGCTAGAAACAAGGTCAACACTTACTCAGTGAGACCGATGAGACCGAGGTCCTATGATCCTTCCGTGCACTCTCCCAGCAGAACTCCCTGGGAGCTGGGTCCAGAGGCTCCCACTCCTCACAGTTTAGAGGCACAGCCACATTCTTTATCGTCACCAACTCCTGCAACAACACAAGACCTCCACTCAGCACCTGCTGTCCCAGGACAGCGTAAGTGACCACTAATCTCAAGATGAGGCCAGACTTGGGAGGAGTCTGCAAACACTGAGCAGGAAGCCCTGAGAATCAAGTAATACATGGCTGTCGAGTCTGCTCCAGTGAGTCTTGTACTGACTGGAGTTCCAAAGTAACAAAGACGGAGGCTAATATTCTCTTGCAATCCAGAAAAGCCTTTCTGTGGACTATCCACACTAACTTGGGGTAAGAGCAAAATCTTCATCTGAGCTATATCACTGTAATCTATCAAAATGGAAATGTGATACAGATTAAAAATGTACAGGTAACCAGAAAGCGCCAAACTCCAGTGCTGGCTCTGAGATCGGTTACCTTACCCATGAAATGGATATAAATTTAAGAAGATGAAGGTACCTCCCTGACAGCAAGTGCTCAGTAAAATCGATTTCCTTTCCCTTGACCATTGCACAATAGGATAATTATCCAGCAAGGTGATCTTTTGTGATACCTTATTTAAATACAAGTTGACCATTCACAGAAGGCAAAGCCACAGTTCTTAGAAAAAGAAGGTTCTAACACTGGCGTGCAGACAGGTTTCTCTAGTGATGGGTCACAAACTGACTTCAAGGATCTGTCACTCAATGACAGGAAAGGGAAATACATTCTTAAATTTTGTTATGTTTTGACATCTTAAAAAAAAATCTGGCTAGGGAGACTGCCCCTCCCAGGGCTAGCCAATTCTTAGAGAGAGCAAAGAGCTCAGCCAAGACTGCTTATCTCAAGCCATACCTCCACCTGGCCTGTACACTCCAGGACACAACAGTACTCTGGCTTAGTTATCCTAAGGCCAGGTTTCAGGACAACGAGGGACAAGCCCTATAGATTAGAGCATGCTGAAATGATTCAGACCAATCAATCCTAAATTGTTTCCCCTACCCTGTGTGTTTCCCTGGGAAACCTCAATACAGGCTCTGACCTAAACTCTCCCCTTGCTCCCGTCTTCTGCCTCCTGACCACCCCTGGTGTCCTTCCAAGGAAGCCCTGAGTGTCGTGCTGTACCTCCTGTTTCTAAGATCTGAATATAGTAACATTTGTTTTTTTTCCTGAGCCTCAACTCTGCTTCCTGGTCAAGGAAAAAAAATCACATTCCTGTGCATCTTTTCTACTCTCAATACACTGAATACTTTCACAACAACACTCCTTCACTTCTGACACCAGATGTAGCAGTTTTCCACATCAAGTAATTCTGTAATACCAGCTGGGTGTCCTCAAGTGTAATTCAATTGACACTATCTACTGAGATATACAGTCACATCCCACAGGTGAAGGGCTTGGTCCCACAAGACCACCCACCCTTCCCAACTTTGGAAGCCAACCTCAATTAGGCTTACCAGTTTATTACAAAAAGATATGATAAAGGATATGAATAAACAGCAATATGGAGAGACACACTATAAGGTCTGGGAGGGTCCCGAGCTCAGAAACTTCTGTCCCCAGAGTTGGAGTTTGTCACCTTCCAGGTATATGGATGTGTTCAGCAAGTGGAAGCCGTCCGAATCTCACACTATTGGGATTTTTATGGAGGTTTCATTACATGGGCATGATGGATTAACTCCATTACAGCCCCACTCCTCTCTCCAAAGTACCATTATCAATTGTAGGAGGGGGTCGCCAAACTGTTAAAAAAAAGTTAACCTCCCATTCAAAGTGCTCGTTACTGCTGTTCTAGCCTAAATCATTAACGACATGCAGCCGCTTTCCATCCTGACACCTTTCTTCCCCAAATAATCTGGTTAGACAAGAGGGTCTTTTACAGTGGGTAAACAAGACTTCCACGTTGGTTTTGTGCTCAGAAGTCTATTAACTCACAGATCATTTCTTCCATAGATTTCTTTGTCACTACAGAAAGGAAGTTTCATGTACACCCTAAAGTTCAAAAAAGTAGTAAGGAAAGAAGGTCTAAAACTCTTAGTACCCCGTACACTTCTAATCCTCACACCTCCACCACCAGAAAACTTTAACTCTTCACCTGGGGTGATGCCCCACCAGGCGTTCTCTGAAAAGCGCGCACCGCGGCCGCAGCCTTCTCCCCGCTTTGCGGGCAGTGCTTCCGCACCCAGGCCTGGAGCTCCTGGGGCAAGATGCTCAGGAACTGCTCCAGCACCAGCAGCTCCAGGATCTGCTCCTTCGTATGCATCTCAGGCCTCAGCCATCGGCGACAAAGGTCCCTGAGCCGGCTTAGCGCCTCTTCGGGTCCGGCCACCTCCTGGTAACGGAACCGCCTAAAATGCTGTCGCAACTTTTCGGCATCCTGATAGTCCCCGGGCAGGTCCGACTCCTGACCTCCAGCTGAGTCTCCCTCCACTTTCACTATCAAAAGTCCATCACGCAGAGACGGCGCGGGGACCCTGGACTTCGCAGCTGCCATCCAGGCTCCTAACTCAGCGTCACTGACTCGACTCGCGGTCAAGCTCGAACTCATCCGGCACGTGCTGTTTTCCTGAGTTTTGCCTTCAGGTGAGAAGACAGCAAACCCTGCAGAAAGCCACGGAACTCATCGGACCTCCCCAGACCGGTACCTCCCGACTGCGCCGTCTCAAGTGGGGCTCTATCAAGCCCTGCCCTTCTGGCACTTCTCCCACCCACGGGTACTCCGACCACTACTTGCGGTGGCCGCTTACAAAAAGTACAAATAAAACCAGGCCGGAAGTGCGTCACCGACTGCTGCAGTGCCCACCCCTCGCATTTCCGGGGCCTCTCTAGGCGCCCAGGAGGAGTGAGACCCATCTCGGTGGTTTGCCGTCTTGCCCCTTCCAGAGACACTCTGATGTGTGTGTACCATTCTGGTGGAACTTATGGTCGTTTAGCTTAACAGAGCTAAATGATACTCTTATTTACAACTCGAATGTAATTTTTTTAACACACTGTGAAAAAAGTTTTGTAAATTTTGTTGTAGGACAAGTTAAAGGTCCGACTACACGATGAGCGGTAAACAGTCATCCATCCATGTGATATTTATACAATAAAGGTTTGTAGAGTTACCTGCTACATGCCAAGGCATCGTGCTCGACACTACAGTTATAAACCTGAGTAGACATCCTCTCTATCCTCAGTCTCCTAAGAGAGTTAAACATTTAAATACTTACAGGATAGGGTGGTGAATGCAATACTTTGACACATATGTATGCACAGTATATTTGTATGACCCAGAGGTGGAAATAATCAGCCATGGTTGATGGGGGAGGGTATAGTGAAAGACTTCACTCAGGAGATTAAAGCTTAAAATGTCTATGTGAGCTGAAGAAATGTTCAAATTAAAAAATAGATTACATAGGGGTCCCTTGGTGGTTCAGTCAACTACTCTTGATTTGGTTCAGGTCATGACCTCGTGATTGGGTGGGTTGGAGCACTGATTCAGGCTTATGCTGACAGTGTGGAGCCAACTTGGGATTCTCTCTTTCTGCCGCTCGTCATACACATACACTGTCTCTCAAAATAAATAAGCTTAAAAATGTTTTAAAAAATAGGTTAGGTAAATTTACAGGCAACAAATCCCTAATATATTAAATAAACCCCAATAAATCCCTCTGACATTAAGCTTTCCTATGTGCAGCTCCCTTGCAATGTCTCACACTCAGCCATCAAAGCTGCCAAGGATTTTGTCCTCCTTGAAGCTCAACCCTTCTGTTCTATCATTACTCGCCCTCCCTTTTAAATATTAGTATGGACACTGCTGCCACCTTCTCCCTCTTCTTTCCTATGCTTCCCTAGTTTTGACTATATCTGGCATCATATTGAATATACAAATAAAACACTTTGTAAAGAACTTGTAGGTAAAAAAACAGGGCATAATTTAAAAAAAAAACTTTTTTAATGTTTATTTATTTTTGAGAGAGACAGAGCATGAGCAGGGGAGGAGAAAAGAGAAAGGGAGACACAGAATCCGAAGCAGTCTCCAGGCTCCAAGCTGTTAGCACAGAGCCCAAAGTGGGACTTGAACTCACATACCCAGAGATCATGACCTGACTCCAAGTCTGACACTTAACCAAGTGAACCACCCAGGCACCCCAGTACAAGCATTTTTCATCCCCTCCTAGTAAGGTTGTCTGCTCACCAGCTGATTACCAGTCAGGTTCTACCAGCTTCTGCCTCTGGGTTGTGTGACTATGGCCTCTAATCATGATATACTGCCTCACCTTTAAAATATAATTGAGAAAAGAAAAATAGAGCAAGGACAAATAGATGGGGCCAGGGATAAAATGATAGTACAAGTTGCCTGCTGTAAGCTCCTATGTACTGGCAAAAAGTAGCTCACAATTTGGCTCTGAAAAGCCTCAGCAGCCAATATAAGAGGAAAACAAGATCAGTTACATGATATGCAGTGTATCTTGGGTAAAAGCAAACTATTAATAGTAGCTTAGGAGAAATCCAGCTATTATTGATGCCAAGTGGGAAGAGAAATTTCCCATGAATGCCCTGGGAAAGGACCATGTGACATAGCGGACGATATCTTAAGATATCTATAATAAATAAAATTAATGGATTTTAATTCCCTTTCAATGTTTAGTGCTGATGGTTCCGCCAATTCTTTATGAAACAAAACAGATGAACATAGGGGAAAGTTAAAGAGAGAGAAAGAGGAGGAGGCAATCCATAAGAGATTTTTGACTCTAGAGAACAAACTGAGGGTCACTGAAGGGGAGGTGGTGGGGGATGGGCTAAATGGGTAATGGGCACTTGTGATGAGCACTGGGTGTTGTAAGTGACGAATCACTAAGTTCTACTCCTGAAGCTAATATTACACTATATGTTAACTAACTAAATTTTAAATAAAAATTCAAAATATTAAAAATAAAGAGCTAATTCTGTGAAGGAAGAAAAGAGTATAGTTTAAGTATTCACCTCGCTGAAGGTCCAGTTTAATATAAAGACAAAATTCAAAGTGCCTAAAGTAACACTTTCCAGACCTTTTACTGTGCCATGCAGGCTAATGGCTATGTGAAGAGTCCATTTCCAGTACTAACTGGATCATCACTTTTCTCTCCTCTTGATGGTATCTTATTTTGGTATATTGCAAAAATGGCCAAAAAAAGTAAAACAAAATGTATAGAAATACACTTTGCAGTTCCTCCCTTCTAGCAGTGGAGTCTATTTCCCCCACCCTTTGGATTTGGGCAGGTCTTGTGGCTTGCTTTTACCAACAGAATGTGGCAGATGTGAGTTTCAAGCCTGGGTATCAAGAACTTTTGCAATCTCTGGTTTCTTGCTTTTGTAACCGACTACCACCAAGTGAAGAAGTATGAGCTATGCTGCCAGGTGATGGGAAAATGCCTACTAGCACTCCAAGTGACAATCAGCTAATCTCCAGAACCGCTTAGCTCAACCAGCAGCTGAACACAGACAAAAGGAGCCTAACAGAAAAGCCAGCCAGGTAAGTAAGGACCAAATTGTCACCCCACAGAGTCATAAGCCTAATAAGTGGTTCCTTTTTTTTTTAGGTTGCTAAATTTGGGGTGGTTTGTTACACAACAAAAACTAACAGACATACTTTTAAACGCGAGTGCAACCCAACTCACCATATTAACAACAACAAAAAAAGATAAAACACTTAGGAATAAACACAATAAGCTATGTGCAAAATACATGAAGAAACTTTAAAACATTCCCAAAGGATCCACAATTAGGCTTTTTTTACCCCACAAATGGAAAAACCTACCATGTTCTTGGGTAGGAAAATAAACTTTATAAGAATGTCAATTCTCCTTGGGTACCTTAGCGGCTCAGCTGGTCTGACTCTTGACTTCAGCTCAGGTCATGAGCTCATGTTTGGTGAGATTGAGTCCGGCATAGGGCTCCGTGCTGACAACACGAAGCTTGCTTGAGATTCTTTCTCTCCCTCTCTCTCTCTCTCCGCCTTTCCCGTTTGTGTTCACGCACTCGTTCTCTCTAAAAAATACATAAATAACCTTAAAAAAGGGGGGAGGGGAAGGAATGTCAATTCTCCCTAAGTGAATACATATAAAAAATGATCCCAATACAGATTTCTTTCTGGAACTAGAAAAGTTGAATCTAAAGTTAATTTGTAAAAGAACTAAAGAAACAAAAATACTTTGAAGAAAAAACACAACTGGGGGCATTCTCTGTAAGAAGTAGTAAAACCAATTATTAATGTTCAATACATTAAAACCGCATATTATCACATGCATAGACAAATAGACCAATGCAGCAGAACAGAAAATCTAGAAACAGACCACAAAACATGGGGATTTAGTGTATGAAAAAGGCAGCATCACAAATCAATGGGAGGTAAAGACAGTTTTTTTCATAAATGTTGAGACAACTGGGTAATGGTTCGGAAAAAGATGAAGTTAGATCTATACTTCACACCACACACCATAATTTTGAATGTTCAATGTTCAGACGTGAGAGTACGCAATGTAAACGTAAAGTGAAACTATAGAAATACTACAATCCACCAAACATACCGCAGGGTAAATTTAAGCCTGATACAAAAAAGAGACATTATTAAGAAAGGCATCCCTCTGGCTATAGAAACCTGCATGGACGACTCCCCTTCTTCACAGGAACGAGGGGATTCCTACGCCACTCAACCTAGCGGGGAGAGCAACCCACTCAGCCACAATCCTTCTGGGAGGAGGCGGCCAGGGAAACGCCTCCCTGCCCTCCCGCACTCTGATGGGTCCTAGAGACCAAGGCTGCAAAGAGATCCGCGGCCCAATTGGCTAGTGGGCGTGGCCCGCGCGGGGCTTCCTGGGAGATGTAGGCTCCTAGGACTCCCGGGTTTGATGTCGGAGACAGGCCCTGTGAGCTCTCCGCCGTGGTGAAAAGGTGGGTGTGTCTGGAGACCGGGTGTGGGCAGAGGCGAGGAATCAGGTGAAGAAAACGAAGGATTTAAAATTAAAGAGAAATTAGTGTTGCGGGCTCTCAGGAAGCGACGAACCTACTTCTAAGTGGGGCGCAGAGCGTTGGGGGTGGGGAGCGCAAGTTCCACGGCCAATCAAACATTAGCAACTGTTGCCTTAGCAACTATTCTGGACAGCTAGGGCCCAGTCCTGTGCCCAGACGCCCAAGGAAAGGGGAGGAGCCCGGGCTGTTTAAATAGCTTTGGGCGCTGGTGGGGAGCAGCAGGCTCCTTTTCCTGCCCCGCGGTAGTGAAGCTAAACCTGCGGTTCGGTGGGCGGGGAACGGCCCAGTCCGGGGAGGCGCCCCAACTCCCTGCCGATTGGCCCACAGCCTCCCCGGGGCGGGGCCTGGGGCGGGCCGCTCCCTCCCTCTGCGAGGCGAGGACCTCCGGGATTCCTAGAGAGGACTCGGAAGTACTCTCGGCGGTGGGATTGATGGCTCGACCCCGTTGGACAGGGAACGCTTGGACGTGCTTACTTCCGGCGAGGAAGTGTTGCGAAGTGTAGGCTTCGGTTTTCTCTCCGTTTTTAGGAAGAAACCTATCTTCCCAACCTTGGCTGCGGGAGCTTGGTCTTCCAGGAGAGCTCCCCGGGACTGGTGCCTTGAGAAAAGAGAATGGGCTTTATATCCAGACTGGGATCCTGTGTCTAACCTTGACCGGGCGTTTTCCGTGTCTATGGGGTCAGGGGTGATTCAGAGGAATATAGGTCCCAATCTTTACTTATAACTCAGCTTCTCTTTGGGACCAATGAAGTTTCTTGTTGGTCCATCGTGCTCTTGTGGCATGAAGGACAGGACTCGTTCTGACTACTATAATATTTTTGACCCCTGTTTTAAGTTTGGCCCGTAGAGAAAATGAGAGACTGCGTCTGGACTACTTAGTAGTAAGTCTTGTCATGTTATTTCTATGATATTTAATGCTCTTCACCATTAAGATTATATTCGGTTAGACCTGATGTCAAAGTTTTATTGCTCTTTACGTTTTTAAAAGAGTTTACTTGTTTATTTTGAGAAAGAGAGGGAGAGTGCATGACTGGAGGAAGGCCAGAGAGAGAGAGAATCCCAAGTAGGCTCCACTCAGCTCCGAGCCGGTCGTCAGGCACCATCTCACAACTGTGAGATCATGACCTGAAATCAAGAGTTGACACCTAACTGCTGAGCCACCCAGGGGCCCAGCAGTTATATTTGTTAAATGTTGGAAATGTTCTCTATTAGTAGTAATTTTTGGGGTGCAGTGACGGCTTGTCTATATTTTAAAGTAAATTGCTCTGCTGAATGGTCATCTTTAGTAGAGATGACCTCTGTGTCATCTCTGCTAATACTGCTTTCTAATATATCAGTAGATTGCACGCTAGTGAAACTGCCCTTCAGAAGATCTTAAAGAACAGAAACCAGATTTGATCTGTGTGACACAGCTAACCTGGAGAGACGTCCCTCTGCGTTGGAATGATAATGACAGAATCTGGGGAAGTTATAGACTTAGACCCTCCCGCTGAGACTTCACAGGAGCAAGAAGACCTGCTAATAGTGAAGGTGGAAGAAGAAGACTGTACCTGGATGCAAGAGTACAACCCTCCAATGTTTGAGACTTTTTACCAGCGCTTCAGGCACTTCCAGTACCATGAGGCATCAGGTCCCCGGGAGGCCCTGAGCCAGCTCCGGGTGCTGTGCTGTGAGTGGCTGAGGCCTGAGCTGCACACCAAGGAGCAGATCCTAGAGCTGCTGGTGCTGGAGCAGTTCCTGACCATCCTACCAGAAGAGTTCCAGACCTGGGTGAGAGAGCATCATCCAGAAAGTGGGGAAGAGGCTGTGGCTGTGGTAGAAAATATACAGAGAGAACTAGAGGAACGCCGACAACAGGTGAGTGGAAGAGGAGACATTAGAGCAATGAGGAAGGAGAGGAAGAGAGTTAAGGTGCTGCTGAGCAGGGGTGAGATCCTTAGTGCTCTGGTGCTTCATTCATATTCTTTTGTTCTCCTGGGATTAGGTACACTGTGGAGATTTCCTGCCACTCCAGCAAAGAGAAGCAATATCCAGTGTGTTAACCTGGAGAAGACAGTCTGCGATTTTATTTACTTTTAAAATTACTGTATTTATCTTTTGATTGACATGATACAAAATTCAAAAGGTGCATAAGGTTGTTATGAAAAGTAAGTTTCCTCCCACCTCTCCTTCTCTGGCTCCCTAGTTCTCTTCAGAGGCAGCCACTGTCACCTGATACCTGTATCCTTACAGAGATCTACTTTCTTCTGTATGCATGAATGGACGTGTGGATGATATGCTTTAAAAAACCACAGATGTTTTTAAATCACTGTGTACTTCTGCCTCTTGCCCTTTGCTTGTATCTTGGTTTGTTCCATGTCAGTGCAAACAGACCTGCCTCTCTCTTGGAAACTGCTTATATTCCATCGTGTGGATGGATGTACCATAATTAAACTCCTGCTGAAGGCCATTTAAGTCATTCCTTTGGATTGTTTCTGAATGTAAACGTTGCTACAATGACTGTCCTTTACATTCATTTTTAATTATAGAATAATAAATGCTTAGAAGTCAGATTGTTGGCTCAGAGCCAATGTGCATTTGTAATTTTGACAGCTGTTGAGAAATTGCCCTTGGTAGATGTTATACCATTTTCATTCCCGGATGCGGGGTGTGAGAAATTTTTTGCTCACAGCTTGATCATGTGATGTTACCCAACTTTTTGTCATTGCCAGTCTGAAAGATGCAACATTCCATTTCTGTGCAGTTTTAATATGCATTTCTCATATTATGAGTGAGTTTGACCACAGTGTACTATATCCACATCCATATATGTATATTTTAAAATTTTTTAAAAATGTTTTATTTTGAGACAGAGAGAGACAGCATGAACAGGGGAGGGTCAGAGAGAGGGAGACACAGATTCTGAAACAGGCTCCAGGCTCTGAGCTGGCTGTCATCACAGAGGCCGGCGCGGGGCTCGAACACATGAACCGTGAGATCGTGACCTGAGCTGAAGTCAGATGCTTAACCGACTGAGCCACCCAGGCGCCCCTATTTTTTAATTTTTTAAAGTTTATTTGTTTTTGAGAGAGAGCACACACACAAGCAAGGGGAGGGGCAGAGAGAGAGAGGGAGACACAAAATCCAAAGGAAGTTTCCAGGCTCTGACCTGACAGCACAGAGCCTTATACAGGGCTTGAACTCACAAGTTATGAGATCATGACTTGAGCCAAAGTCGGTCATTTAACTGACTGAACCACCCAGGCACCCTAATCATAGTATATGTTTTATTTTTTATTTTTATTTTTTATTATTTTTTATTTATTTCTAGGAGAGGGAGAGAGACAGCGTGAGCAGGGCAGGGTCAGAGAGAGAGGGAGATACAGACTCTGAAATAGGCTCCAGGCTCTGAGCTGGCAGTCAGCACAGAGCCCGACGTGGGGCTCGAACCCACGAACCATGAGATCTTGACCTAAGCGAAAGTCGGACGCTTAACTGACTAAGCCACCCAGGCGCCCCTCATAGTATATGTTTTAAAGGGCTATGAGTGTCCTCTTTTTTTTCCTTTTTGAAAATTAAGCTCTGCACCCAATATGGGGTTTGAACTTACAACCCCAAGTTCAAGAGTCACATGCTCCACCGATTGAGCCAGCCAGGCACTCTGGCTGTGTACTCTTTTTTGTGAGTTATCTATTTACATTATTTGTTTTTTCTTTTAATGTTTTGTTTATTTTTGAGAGAGAGATAGAGACAGCATGAGCAAGGGAGGATCAGAGAGAGAGGGAGACACAGAATCTGAAACAGGTTCCAGGCTCCGAGCTAGCTGTCAGCACAGAGCCTGACATGGGGCTCGAACCCATGAACCATGAGCTCATGATCTGAGCTGAAGTCGGATGCTCTACCGACTGAGCCACCCAGGCACCCCACATTATTTACCTATTTGAAAAAGTAAGCACTGTGTCTGTCATCTGAGGTGCAAGTTTATTTTTCCACTTTGTTGTTTATCTTTGTTTATGGAGAATTTTGCTTTGCCAGGGTTTTTTATTTTTATGTAGTCTGTTTATATCTTTTAGTTTATGGTTTCTGGGTTTTGTGCCATACTTAGGCCTTCTCCACTACAATATCATAAGAAAATTTTTTTTTTTTAATTTTTTTTTTTTTTAATGTTTTATTTATTTCTAGGAGAGAGATAGAGACAGCATGAGCAGGGGAGGGTCAGAGAGAGAGAGGGAGTCACAGACTGAAACAGGCTCCAGGCTCTGAGCTGGCAGTCAGCACAGAGCCCGACACGGGGCTCGAACCCATGAACCGCGAGATCATGACCCAAGCGAAAGTCGGACGCTTAACCGACTAAGCCACCCAGGCGCCCCTGAAAATTTTCTAATCGTCTCTTCTCCCGTTAAAAAATTTTTTTGGTGCACAGTGTTCAGTATGGTTACAACTTTTTTCTACCAGATGTCTGTCTGGTTGTCCCAGAAACTTGTAGAGTAATCCCTTTTTTCCTCTCTTTAATTAAAATGCTGTCTTTATTACATACCAAATTTCTAAATGCATTAGCGGCTACTTATGGTCTTTTTTTTTTTTTTAATGTTTTATTTATTTCTAGGAGAGAGAGAGAGACAGCGTGAGCAGGGCAGGGTCAGAGAGAGAGGGAGTCACAGACTGATACAGGCTCCAGGCTCTGAGTTGGCAGTCAGCACAGAGCCCGACGCGGGGCTCGAACCCATGAACCGCGAGATCATGACCTAAGCGAAAGTCGGATGCTTAACCGACTAAGCCACCCAGGCGCCCCTTTTTTTAAATATTTGAGAGAGAGAGCACAAGTGAGCGTGGACACATGTGAACAGGGGAGGGGCAGAGAGAGAAGAATCCAGAGAATCCCAAGAAGGATCCATGCTGTCAGTGCAGAGCCCTATGCGGGGCTCAAACCCATGAACCATGAGATCACAGCCTGAGCCGAAATCAATAGTTAGATGCTTAACTGACTGAGCCACCCAGGCACCCCTGGGTCTACTTATTTTATTTTAATACTGTTTTGTTGATCTTATTATCTGTTCACCTACCAGTATTTTCAGTACTTGAGCTCTGTAAAGGGTTTTGATATGTGATAGGGCTACCTTTCTTCCTTCCAAATGTTTTCAATATTTTCTTTTTTCCTTATGAACTTTAGAATTACTAATGTAGTTTTCACCGCTCCAAAAAATCCTGTTGTTTTGTTGTTGTTGTTGTTGTTGGGGTTGCAGTAAATCCTATATTAATTTAGGAAAAATTGATATCTTTTTTTGAGTATTGTTTTAGTGTTTATTTTATTTTTGAGAGCACATAAGCAGCGGAGGGGTACAGACAGAGAGGGAGACATAGAATCTGAAGCAGGCTCCAGGCTCCGCACCAGAGCCTGACGTGAGGCTCAAGCCTACGAACCATGAGACCATGACTTGAGCAGAAGTCAGACACTCAACCGAAGGAGCCAACCAGGTGCTCCTAGAGAGGATTGATATCTTTATGTTGTTACATCTTCTTGTCTTTTCTTACTCATTTAACTTGACTCTCTACCTTCTTGTTGCTGGGGTCGCACTCTCTTAAGCTTTAATTTCTTATTATTGTTAGAGCAAAGAAACAATCATGAAACCTTAGGTCACAAGAATTTGAAGCTAATTAAATTTCTGTCATTCTTCAGAATCACTGCACATTGATGTGAGATCCCAATTTCATTACTCTTTATGTCTGGATAAGGGCTACTTTAACATTTCAGATCATTCTCAAGCTCTTCAGGTGGTTCAGCTCACTCCATGAGGCAAGTGGGTAGCAGAGGGCGTTGCTGCTGACCATCAGCCAGACCCTTGGCTATACCAGACATCCTCCAGATGGGAATGTCAGAATCTTTCTGTTGCTTCCATCAGTACAGAAAGTAAAAGTTCATGGTGACATTTAGTTGCTTCTTTTTTAAGCCTAATTTGGGACACTAATAAACAAACTTTCTCCTGCTTTTTTGTAGTAATAAATATTCAAAAATACACTTAAAAACAAGAAGTATTAAGTAGAAGATTTACAGCAGATATGTGCATTTACCGCTCGTTGTGATATGCAGCCCATCTTTGGAAGAGACACAGAGAAAAATAATTTCTTAGTAGCATCAGGGATTTGAGGCCCATAGAAGGGATTTTCTTAAGGGCCTCATGGCTCCCTTTGTTTGCCTTTCACTCTGCCTGCTGTCTGTGTCCTCAACATTGTTCCCCAGCTCTATCTCCAGGCGGTTACCGTCTCTGGCAGGCCCTTTTCCTAGGCTTTAAACTTTACCCTCCTCCTTGGTTTGTGTCCTAGTCTCAGGAGACCTGAAGGGCTGCTTTGCTTCTTTGGTGCTGATGTGCCCTTTGACATACTTGGCATCATCTTAACTCTTATTCTGAATGGGTCCACGAGGACACAAAAACTTCCATGCAGAGCGATCTTCGCCACAACTGTTTTGCAGCGGCCTCTTAACATAACTCCTGTACCACATTTTGCCAGTGCTAGGAGGGTTAAAATTTAAAGTGCTTTGAAACATAAGGGAGGAGGTGAGGGTGGTGGCAATTCTGTCTCAGTGCAGGATCTTATTACCTGCTAGGATGCTGCTGAGCTAGTAACTTCCAGAAAAGACAGATTGTGGGTTGTGGCAGAGTAACTGCGTGTCCCCTAGGGTCGAGCAAGAGTCCAGAACAGAAACTTGGAGTACTTACTTAGTACGCTGGACAGGAACCAGCTCTTGTCTTAGTGTTGGTCTGTCCTACTTGAACCTGGCCTGCTAAGGAACTGAGTGTGGCTTCCCGAGTCCTATATTGACTTTGATAACCTCGCTTCCCACTTCTCTCCCCTCTTCAGTAAACTTGACCTACCCTGGCCTTTTTATGGCACCTTGACCATATCAGACACCTATTTTCTGCCTGAGTGTCTTTGCTTATGTTCTCTCTGCCCGGAACACTTCTTACTTTTTCCCTGACAGGCTTCTTTTGCCCTATAGGTGTTTACTTCAGTGGCACTTTGTCAGACAAGCCTTCCTTGGCCACTTTTTCTAAAGTAGGTCTCATCTGTTATATCTTATGGCACTACTTTCTTCTCCTTTCCAACATGTAACAGTTTGCAGTTATGCATTTATTTGTGCCTTGATGTGTTTAATGGAAGTCATCTTTGACTAGAAAGAAACTGTTTGTTAAGCTACTATGTAATCAGTGCTTGGCTGGTTGCAGATGCACATTAAGTATTTGGCAAAGAGTGAATAGTATGAATTTACTAGATTCTTTCTTAGCCCTCTCTGCAGTGTGCTGATTGGTGTGGTTGTGCTTGTCAGATTGTGGTGTGTCCCGAAGTGCTTCCTCAGAAGATGGTACCACCTGGAGTTGTGCAGGAATCCCTCAGCCACCAGCTCCTGTCCATGGACCCCCCGTCTGAACAGGAGCCACAGAAGCCTCATCTTCTGGAGGAAAATGGTGAGGAGATATGATTCAGTGGAACAGATATGGCTAGAGAGTGAGCTTCCTGGCTTTATGGGTAAGCAGTATCTGTATGAGTGAGACTTCTGGCTGGGCGGCCTTTCTGCCATCAGCAGGATTGGGAGGTTGGGAAGGGCTGGATACCCAGAATCGAGTCCCTGGCATACAGAGAGAGGTCAGCTTGCAGGATGGCTAGGATGTGGTTCTGTTTGAAAGTTGTAATGCAGATGATGACAGCTCTAAGTACAGGTACTGTCAGATCCACAGAAGTTTTTTACAAAAGCGTTATACTTGTTTTACAAAAGTTTCCCAACTCTCCACACACGTTTTGTTACCTCACTGCTTATGTAAGAACGGCTCTCCAGTTCCTAATTGCAGTCATTCATTTCTGGCTGCTCATTCACCACCTTGAAATTTTATTTCAAGCAGTTGCTTACAGTGACCTTTAGGGCCTTTGTTCTCTCCGTGTCTTTCTCTCCTTCCCTCCCCCACCTCTTAATTTTATTAACTTGTATTAGAAGGAAGAAGAGTGAACTGTTAAGTATCTTATTTATAATGGAATATGTCCACAGGTCTATAACCCTAATCAGAAACTCTTGCTATCAGATATATTTTAGGATTCAGAAATTTTCCGATTTAGTAAGGGAATATGATTTATATACCATACATTACAGTACTGACAGGATTTGAGGTGGGACTCCACAATCACACACATTAATATTTCGCCAGTGAAATGTATGCATATTTACAGTAAGAGGATTAAATCAAAACTTTAAATAGCTTCACATAAGTTCTGGTCAGGTTTTGCTGTCAAATTGGTTCAATGTCTACCTTACTGAAAGGAAGGCCTTTGGGATTTCAGAATTGTGGAGAAAGCGTCATGAACCTGTATTTCCAGGTTTGGCCTCAGGCTTTCTTCTAGGCTTCCTCTAGTGGTCAGGTCTTTCACATCACCTGCTCCATGGCCCTGACCTTTTCCAGATTTCCTTTCACTGTGGTAGTAATAATAGAAGGGGCAGGAGCAGCAATTACTTATATAGTGTTTACTATGTGTCCGCAAGTATTCCAACCGCTTTGCTTGTGGGAGCTTGTTAAACTCTCACTGTACTAGAAAAAGTAGTCTTCACCATTTACCATCTGGCGCCAATGAATCCTTTTTATTATATATACACATACACACACACATACACACCTATATATACACACTTACATACGTATGTATAAATGTCACTTTATGGATCATTTACAAAAGAATCAAAGGCTAATATAAAATAATTTTAAGGAAATTTTAATAAGAATTAAACCTTTTTATATCAAGTACATTTTGGTAATAGAAACACCATAAAAAATGAAAGATCACTGTTACACAATACTATCCCTTTAGCGAAATGAATACTATCATGTTAGCAAAATGGGATGGTCCAGAGTCTTGTTGCAAAATCTTGGCCTCATGAAGTCCTTCCTGTTGAATAATTCACTGGATGAGAATGTCCTACTTCCTTTTCAAAATTAGAAATCTAGTGTATATCGTTGATTCTTATGTTTGAAGAAAGTTATCTCCGATAGTATTTGTAGACTCTTTCAAAGATTCCCCATATGGATTCAGTTTCATCATCATTGTGTAGAGTGCATTGCTCTGTTCTTTATATTGTCTTCTTACTTCATCTACTAAAAGTGAAATGTTATCTGCTGCGCATTTTCTTTTCTTTGCTGATGTGGGTGGAAAATGAAAAATTCTGAATTCTCAGTCATTCTCAGTGAGAACTAAAAACAGGCGTCAGCAGTCTCATACCTTCTTGAAAATGGTGTAAAACCCTTGGCAGTGAATTTAATACTTGGAGAATAGTGAAGAGTGATGATTTATTTCACTATTACATCCTCCTAAGTATCTCTTTTATTCTCCTCTATTTTCTCATTATTTTAGTTTTTTATGCTATCATTGGAATAATTAATGAGTAATTTTTAGTAAACATGCAGTAATTCCTAGGATGATGAATTAGAAAAATGTTTTGTGATACAGGAAAAATAAGATCACTCGGATCTCAAAATGTATGCTAAGTGTAGAAGAGTCCAATGGATCCATATAGAAATTACAAGACAGAATGAGATTTATTCTATTTTTTAATAATACTAAGATAAATTTTCATTTTGTTCTTCAGAAGATCTCTAAGGAAATAAAAGTCATGTAATTCTATCTTTAAATATAATTAAAACTGTTCAAAAAAGAAACCTCCAATCCCAAATTGTGTCTGATACACCTAGTTGATATTCCAAGGGTTAATGCTTGGAATCCCAGTGGAATAGCTACGACTGTTATCCTCATGTTAGAAATTAAGCAGCTGAGGCCTAGAAAGGTTAGGTAATTCTTTCAAGGTCACAAAACTGTTAAGTGGCAGAGCTGGAATTCTAACCCCAGCAGTCAGCTCCAAATTTATACTTTTACCTTCCTGAGCTGGGCTACCCTTACCTTTCCATGAGTCCCTCCCAGGTGCAGACTCCTGTCCTCCGGAAATACTGTTCTCTTCTTTACCCTGGCAGAGTCTCATCACACCTCTGTTCTAAGAGCTGCTTCTCTCCTCTACCCTGTTAGCCAGACCCAGTGTCTTTTTTTCTTTTTTTTTTTTTTTTTGGCCAGTGTCTGCCTTCTGACGAAATTGCTAGGTTTGTTTTGGTTTTTGATTTTTATACACTGGAGAGGGCTAGGTTCCTAGCCCTGGGACTAGGTTGAGCTTGAGAGGGACAAAGTCATTTGCTTAAAAGCTAAAGAAACAGGAGGTTTCACAGAAACTTCGTAAAAATAAGTGGAGTTGTTTGGAATGTAATTATTATAATTATTCCAATTGTAATACTCAAAATCAAAATTACTGGTTGAGTACAGACTACATTCATCTCTTTCTTCGAGTCTTACTTTGACTCTTTAGCCACACTTCTGGTTTCAGATGCCATCTCAGTGTCCAGCTTTCATCTCTTAATCATCTCCTTTTTGCATCATTGCTTATTACTTCCTAGTTCTTGGGCAGAAGCGAGCTGCATAAGCACGTACATCTTTAGGACCTGGGCAGCCATAGTAGTGTCTAAACTGTCAGGCTAGGGGTGCCTGGTGGCTCAGTCGGTTAAGCGTCTGACTTAGGCTCAGGTCATGATCTCATGGTTTGTGGGTTCAAGTCCCGTGTCAGGCTCTGTGCTGACAGCTCGCTCAGAGCCTGGAGCCTGCTTTGGATTCTGTCTCCCTCTCTCTCTGACCCTCCCCTGCTCACGCTGTCTCTCTCTTTCTCAGAAACAAATAAAAAACATTAAAAAAAAAAAAGCTGTCAGGCTAAAGGTTAATACTAGGTGGATCTGTCCAAATCAGGGCATACATAGACAATGAGATCCTAATCACCATGACACCTATGCATCTCAAGACAAAGAACAAGCAGAGGTGACGACAGGGGGTCAGAAGGTCACTACCATCTAGAGATCAGAACCTCGAGGCATTGCACATACAATTCACTCTGCCTGGAAACACCCTCAACACCCTAACCATCCCCTCCCACCCCCTACTTCCCAGAGTCACTTCTGTCGAAAGGCTTTCCTGATGCTCCCACCTCTTGCTCTCTAATCTGTAGGTACCCTGCCTCCATGCTTCTATGGGAACTTGGGTGAATTTCAAGTATAATACTCTTACCCTGTGCTGGAAGTAAGGCTTATGTATCTGCATTCCCCAGTAGAGAGTGAAGTCTTTGGAAGGCAAGAATTGTTTTCTGCCTATTCTTATGACACACGACTTAGTACATACTAAATGGCTATCAGTCAACCATGGTAACTTCTCGAAGGAAGAGAATGTGGGCTAAGGCCTTGCTGATGAAAGCATTGGCCCAGGAGCAGCGCCAGCATGCTTTTGTTAGAAGTGCAGAATATGGGGGCCACTTCAGAACTGCTGAGCCATATCTGCCCTGTACCAAGACCTCCAGGTGATTTTGTTTGCACATTAAAATTTGAGAAACCCTGAGCTCTCGCTAGTGTTTCGGCTTCATGAAGCTATGGAACTGGTTATTCTTTGAGGTGACTAGATTTGATGTTGCCAGAGAAGATTGCATCCTTATAGGTGAATAGCACAGTCTGAGGTTGCTAGCAGGGATTAGCCTGACCAGAGCAGGGGGTTCTGATGTTTGCAGGGGAGGGTGAGTGTTGTTAGGTGTGGGAGGTGCTACAATGTAGAGGGTCTTGAGAGACAAGTGGAAACATTTAGCCTTGCTGCAGCAGGGCCCTGTTGAAGATTCTGGAGCAAAAGTGGAACATGCTGGCAATTGGAACTGGGCAAAGATATTCTCACTGACACCTCTTTTTCTCCCCCCTCAGCCCTACCTGCTCTCCAAGTTCCTCCCCTTCCCCTGAAGGACAGCCAGGAGCTGACAGCCTCACTTCTCTCAGCTGGGTCCCAGGTGAGCTGGCATCCTAGTGCCCGCAGTGAGGACCCGTGTCTATTCTTGGACAAGGAGCTGTCCTAATCCTGACTTTTTATCAGAAGTTCTGTCTCTCACTACAGACCGGGCCCGTCTTGGGTTCCTACTTGAATGTTTCTTTCCGTTCCATCCCATGCTCCCCTCTCTTTTTTCAAACACAGTCCCTCTGTTTTTTCCCTTCATGCTCCCACTTCTTCCCCTCATTCCAAATTTGCACATAGGGAATGGGAATTTAGTGGAGATCTCATGTTTCAGAAGTTGGTGAAAATTGAAGATGTGGCTGATGTGGCTGTATCCTTCATCCTGGAGGAATGGGGACATTTGGACCAGTCTCAGAAGTCCCTCTATAGGGATGACAGGAAGGAGAATTATGGGAGTATTCCTTCCATGGGTAAGAATTATTTCATCTGCATGGATTAGGACATCTTCATTTTGTTACAAGGACTATTTCTGGCACATCGTATAAAAGCATGTATGTTTTAATTACTGTGACTTTATTTATTTTTTCTGTAAAAGAGTAAATTAGTATTCCTTTTTTTATGTTTTTTTTGTTTTTTTTGTTTTTTTTTTTTTAAGAGAGAGAGAGACAGAGCATGAGTAGAGGAGGGGCAGAGAGAGAAGGAGACACAGAATCTGAAGCAGGTTCCAGGTTATGAGCTGTCAGCACAGAGCCCAATGTGGGGCTTGAACTCACGAACTCTGAGACCATGACCTGAGCAGAAGTCGGACGCTCAACCAACTAAGCCACCCAGGCGCCCAACCTTCCCTTTTTTTTTTTTCTTATTTAGCTTATTCTGATTATTTCCATCCTAATTAGGGTATGATTGAAATCTGATGATACTTGGGGGATAGTATTTACAATCCAGCAAATGTTCTCTTTTTAGCGCTTTAAAATAAGAGAGCTGAACACTAACAGGTTAGGGTTTTAACAGATTTGTAGTAGTTATTGTATTCTGTTCCTTGACAAATTGAATAATTCCAGCTGAATAATTCTCACTTGAGAAAACATCTCAGACTTTGCTGAATAACCATTTATTAGAGTATATTTGACCCTTGAACAACACAGGGTTAGAGGTGCCCACCCCCCATACAGTTGAAAGTCTGAATATAACTTCTACTTTTTTTGTTGTTTTAATTTTTAACATTTATTTATTTTTGAGAGAAAGAGCAGGGAAGGGGCAGAGAGAGAGGGAGACACGGAATCTGAAGCAGGCTCCAGGCTCCAAGCTATTGGTACAGAGCCTGACATGGGGCTCGAATCCACGAACCATGAGATCATGACCTGAGCCGAACCGAAGTCAGTTGCTTAACTGACTGACCCACCCAGGTGCCCCTCTGAATATAACTTCTAACTCCCCCAAAACTCAACTACTCAGAGCCTACTGCTGACTTGAAGCCTTACCTCATAATTTATGTGTCATATACTGTGTTTACTTAAGTGAAAGTAAGCCAGAGAAAAGAAAATGTTATTAAAATCATAAGGAAGAAGAAATACATTCAGAGTCTGTATTTATCAAAAGGAATCCACGTGTAAGTAGACCTGCATGGTTCAAACGTGTTGTTCAAGGGCATACTGAAGGTATTACACTAACTTTTCTCCAAGGCGTGGGTGGCTAGTTGTTCACTCCATTACCGTCCTCAGATAACTGGTGCCCATTTCATGATGTTCACCTTGACATCTATATTTTACATATCTCATCCTTCTTGAATTTTGAGTGCCAAATGAGATTTCAAACATGTTTCTAAATGACGATCCTGGAAACTGATATTCATTTATGCTGCCTAGGAGCAATTATAAAAATCTCAGCACTATGGCAAACATTTTGGAACTTAGGGCTTTTAGCTTCTTTTGAATGTTCTTTGAAGGTTCTTCTTTTAGAAGAACCACTATATATCAAGCACTCTGGCACACTTTAGAAGAGAGACATAATAATGTCAAATTTACTTTTTTTAAACGTTTATATATTTAAGTAATATTTACACCCAGTGTGGGGCTCACACCCATGACTCTGAGATCAAGAGTTGTACCATCCTCTGACTGAGCCAGCCAGGCGCCCCATATAATGCCATTTCTTTTGAAAAGCATTATACCAGTTTACATTGTTCTAAAGGTTCTAGTTCACTTACAGGCTTTTATTTTAAAAAATAAAATTGGAGTGCCTGGGTGGCTCAGTCACTTAGGCGTCTGCCTTTGGTTCAGGTCATGATCTCATGGTTTCTGGATTTGAGCGCTACATCTCAGCTGTCTGCACGGAGCCTGCTTCAGTCCTCTATCCCCATCTCTCTCTGTCCCTCCCCCGCTTGCACACATGTGCTCTCTCTCTCAAAAATAAATAAAAACTTTAAAAAAAAATAGATGAAAAGCAAAATTGACTTCTGTTCTTTTAAGTTTTCCATTTTTTCTAATGCTAGTGATATGTATTTGTATTTCTTTGACTTGTTTGTACCAGCCCTCTGCAGCTTTATCTGTTCGCATCTTAGTGGGGGTGTTTCATCTCAAGGAATTATTTATGCAGCACAGATGTTACATGTAATGCAGATACTTTTTTCAGTCTCTTTTTAAATTAATTTCAAATGCCTCACTTGTCTAATTTCAGTCTGGTAGTATCATTTTATCTTTTTCAGTTACTTTGCAGGCATTAATGGGTTTCAGGGTTTCAGTACTTTATACTGTTCTTTTTATTTTATTTTATTTTATTTTTTTAATATTATTTATTTCTAGGAGAGAGAGAGAGAGACAGCGTGAGCAGGGGAGGGTCAGAGAGAGAGGGAGACACAGACTCCGAAATTGGCTCCAGGCTCAGAGATGGCAGACAGCACAGAGCCCGACGAGGGGCTCGAACCCACGAACCGTGAGATCATGACCTAAGCGAAAGTCGGACGCTTAACCGACTAAGCCACCCAGGCGCCCCTATACTGTTCTTTTTAATACCATTCTCCAAGGAGTTTCCTGATTTTTTAAAAAATCTATTTGTTCATTACAACATATTTATAGTAATATTCTTCTACATTAAGAACATGGTTGATGATTTCTGCCCCTTTATTTTTTTATTTTTTTTTAAATGTTTTATTTATTTCTAGGAGAGAGAGAGAGAGAGACAGTGTGAGCAGGGGAGGGTCAGAGAGAGAGGGAGTCACAGACTGAAACAGGCTCCAGGCTCTGAGCTGGCAGTCAGCACAGAGCCCGACGCGGGGCTCAAACCCACGAACCGCGAGATCATGACCTAAGTGAAAGTTGGACGCTTAACCGACTAAGCCACCCAGGCGCCCCAGATTTCTGCCCCTTTAATAACATCTCTGGGGGTGCCTGGGTGGCTCAGTTGGTTAAGTGTCCAGCCTTGGCTCAGGTCATGATCTTGCAGTTTGTGCGTTCGAGCCCTGCATCAGGGCTGACGGCTCAGAACCTGGAGCCTGCTTCGGATTCTGTGTCTCCTCTCTCTGCCCGTCTTCTGCTCGTGATCTGTCTGTCTCTCAAAAATAAATAAATGGTAAAAAAAAAAAAATTTTTTTTAAATAACATCTCTGGAAGGCCACATTAGATTATTTTCACACCTGTGTGTTCCTGATAGCATTGAGAAGGTCAAGGTTTGTTTTTTCCTTTATTTTATTTTATGTTATTTATTATTTTTTTTTAATTTTAAAAATTTTTTTTTAAATTTCTGAAAGAGAGAGAGACAGCGTGAGCAGGGGAGGGTCAGAGAGAGGGAGATAACAGCATCTGAAGCAGGCTCCAGACTCTGAGCTAGCTGTCAGCACAGAGCTGGATGTGGGGCTTGAATCCACAAACTGTGAGATCATGACCTGAGTCCAAGTCAGATGCTTAACCAACTGAGCCACCCAGGTGCCCCTCCTTTATTTTTTAACATTTATTATTTTTGAGAGACAGAGCAGGAGTGAGGGAGGGTCAGAGAGAGAGAGAGAAAGGGAGACACAGAATCTGAAGCCAGCTCTAGGCTTTGAGCTGTCAGTACAGAGCCCAATGCAGGGCTTGAACTCATGGGCTGTGAGATCATGACCTGAGCCAAAGTCTTAATCAACTGAGCCACCTATGTGAGTCACCCAAGAAGGTCAAGGTTTTAGAAGTATCCATCAGATCCAGAAATGAGAGATTTAAAAAAAACAGATGTATCTTGGAGACAGCTATTTTAATGGAGTGTCAGGACTTTGCAGAACAAGAGACAGTTTCTTTGCAGATTGCAAAGGAGAGGAATTTGAGAAATCTATCATAGATAAACTTCCAACTACATTGTAAAGAAAATGAGAAAGAGGGTTGATCAGTGTAAGAGTACATGCTTAGATGGATAGATTAGTTTTGTATGTTTTCTTTGTCAATGGTAGAGGGTTTTTTTTGTTTATTTTTTTAATGTTTATTTTTTGAGAAAAAGACACACACACAGAGTGCAAGTGAGGGAAGGGCAGGGAGAGAAGGAGACAGAGAATCTGAAGCATGCTCCAGGCTCGGAGTTGTCAGCACAGAGCCGAATGTAGCGCTCGAACCCATGAACCATGAGGTCATGACCCGAGCTGAAGTTGGATGCTCAACTGATTGAGCCTTCTAGGTGCCCCTCAGTGGAAGAATTTTAAGCATACTTAAATGCTAGTGGGAAAGTACTAAGAAGGAGTGAGTTTGAAATGTTGGAGCAAGGAAGAACAGATCCTTGATGAGGGCAGTACCTGGAAAACAGGATGGCATGGGGAGGTCCAAGGTCCAGAAGGAAGGGTTGGCTTTGGCCAGAGAGAGACAGCTCTTCCACCATGAGCCGATGTGATGATGACAGAGGAAGGCTGCCAGCAAGTTTTTGGTTGCAGCTGTAGGATGTTCAGGTTGCTCTGGAGTGGATAGCTTTGACTCTCTGAAACAGGAGACAGTCACCTGTTGAGAACGAGCAGGTGATGGAGTAGGTGGTGGAGTAGAAGTTCGAGTGCAGCAGGGAATTTTGATTTGGGAAAGGGCATACATGCACATACTAAAATGTATTCAAATAGTATGAATGTGTATAAGGTGAAAAGTGAGTCACCTACCCTGATCCTGTCTTTTAGTTTCCCTCACAGAAGCAATAACTATTACTGGTTTCTGGATTGTATCTCTAGAAATAGTCTGTGTGTATGTGAGTTTTTGCAAAAATGATAGTATACTGTACACACTACACTATTTTTTAAGTAACAGTGATATATCTTGGGGGCCATGGTAGAGATATTTTGATGTAGCTGATGAGAAAGATGAGCGGGGAAAAGAGCCAATTTAGGAACATAGAATGCTAGACAGGTCACTGGTGATATTGAAGAGCATTAATCTGTAAAGCACCAAATCTGCCTGATTGGTATTTTTGTCTACACCCATTGCCCCCGCCATTGCATTACTTACCAGCTGGGCATAGCACTGAGCGAGGAGCACAGTACTCTGTCAAATACACAAATAAACCAGGAGAATCCACAGAAAACTTGTATGTGGAAAAGAGGTGGGGAAAGAGGAAAAAAGCAAATCTGTAAACCTATTTGTGTAACAACCCCTAAAACCACCTTCTCTGGAAAAGGGCAGTTGTTATTAGCACCAAAGAGGTGCATTAGGCTAATCTGATTTGTTTTTCAAATTTGCCACTGGAAAAAGAAAACCACGAGCTTTTTTGACTTGTCGAAAGGGAGAGAATTCTAATACAGTGTGTGAGCCTAAGCAGATGTGAATAAAAGAGAAAAATACTGGGATGATGGAGATTATCTCCTCATTTACATACACAGGAAAAACGTGTAAAAGGTCTGGTTTTGTGATAGAATTTGTTTTTGATTATGTTTGTTTCTGCTATTAATGTTTTTTTAGGAAGAGTATTAATTAAAAAGAGTTATAGAAATTAAAATCAAAATTTTCTGTATGGTGTAAGAATTATAACTTCTCACTATGTCAAAAAAAGGATAGTCAGAGTGCCTACCTCAAAAGGTCATTGTAAAAATTAAGTGCCATAAAATTGTAAAGCACTTAAAGGCACAGTGCCTGGTCCACAGTATGCAGTCAGCAAATATTAGCTCTTTTTACCATTGTTCTATAATATTTGAAAACAACTTTTCTGTTTACCAGAAAAAAAAATCTTATTAGAAAGCTCTTAATAGGCCATGATCTCTCTCTCTCTCTAGCACATAAAAAATAATATTCCCTGTTTTTTAATGATGGAAAATTTGAGCAAAGCATATTAAATGTCAGTGCTTCAAGTGAAGTATAGGTTGCTGATCCACTTACACAGGGACATGGTTGCAGTGTGTTCAGCATCCGTATTCATCAAGGACTATTGGATATTAAGCTAGCTTTTGACAGTAGTAGACTCTTCTCTGGGTATAGAAAGAATACCTTCTTTCCTTTAGACTAATTCATACCAAACTGAGATTCTTTGAAGATTAAAAAAGCTGGAAATCTCTTTCTTCTTCAGGCTATGAAGAAACAGGAAGAGGAAGATGAAGATTGGGTTCACTGCATAATCCAATAATCACATTTTATTAGAAATATTTATTTATTGGGGGACCTGGGTGGCTTGTCGGTTGAGTCCAACTTCGGCTCAGGTCATGATCTCACAGCTTGTGAACTCTAGCCCTGCGTTGGGCTCTGTGCTGACATCTCAGAGCCTGGAGCCTCCTGATTTTTGTGTCTCCCTTTCTCTCTCTGCCCCTCTCCCACTTGTCTCTCTCTCAAAAATAAATAAACATAAAATTTTTTTAAGGAATATTTGTTTGTTTTTAAGTTTATTTTAAGAGAGAGAGTGTGAGCAGGGGAGGGACAGAGAGCCAGAGAGAGAGAATCCTAAACAGGTTCTGTGCTGTCAGCATGGAGCCCAACATAGGGCTCGATCTTACGACCCTGGGATCATGACCTGAGCCAAATTCAAGAGTTGGACACTTAACTGACTGAGCCACCCAGGCGCCCCTTATTAGGAATATTTAATACTGCACAGTTAAGCACAAACAGGTGCTGCAAGTACCACACCAAGAAGCTATCGCCTTCATTAAATATGGCTGCTCTCCTATTTCATCTGTTTGACACAGTTTTGCCAGCTCTTCCTCCCCCAGCCTGTTTCCTCTTGAGGATTCTTCATCCCATCGCTGTAGCATAAAGCCACCTTTACCAAGTCATGCAGTGCTATCACGTGTTAGTTTTGTAATTACCTATTTCTCTCATTTTCTTTCTTCCAGTAGGGGAATAGCTAATTTTTCCATTTTCCTTCTATTATTTCAGATTATGAGTCGAGGAATGACAACGTGGAACTCATAGTAAAGCAGATTTCTGATGATGCAGAATCCCACTGGATGATGTCAGGAAGCTCTGAAAGCAATGTTCCCCAAAGTCAAGGGTTTGGAGAAGTTAATGACCTTCACAGCATGGTAGAAAGATGGCAGGTAGACCCTGCTGTGGGGAAATCAAGGCAGAACCCTTCCCAGAAAAGAGATCTTGGTGCCATCACAGACGTTAACTGTAAGCAGAACACAAGCACAAGTGGTGAGAGAGGTCACAAATGTAACGATTGTGGTAAATTTTTCCTTCAAGCCTCAAACTTCATTCAACATCGGCGAATCCACACTGGAGAAAAACCGTTTAAGTGTGGTGAATGTGGGAAAAGCTACAATCAGCGTGTGCACCTGACTCAGCATCAGCGCGTCCACACTGGTGAGAAGCCGTACAAGTGTCAGGTGTGTGGAAAAGCCTTCCGTGTGAGCTCACACCTTGTCCAGCATCACAGTGTGCACAGCGGAGAGAGACCCTACGGTTGTACTGAGTGTGGGAAAAACTTCGGCCGGCACTCCCATCTGATTGAGCACCTGAAGCGCCACTTCAGAGAGAAATCCCAAAGATGTATGTAATCAGCAGTTTGCGTTTGGAGAATAAATGCAGTCAAAAATGGTTTTCTTAGCTTAGAGCAGCAGGATACACAGGTTGTGTATTGGGAACAGTAGCTAAGGAGCAGAGATCACAGTACATTTTGTTTAGAATTTGTACTGTAACTCATCGTCCAATTAGTAAGCAAAATTCTATGTCCTCTCCACCATCCCCACAACTTCCCTCTTCCCAGAGGTTCCTGCTTTTAGCTCTTTCCTGTTTATTCTAGTAATTCCATATTTGTAAAAATACAGCTATTGCCCAACTCACCAATTTTAAATGTTATCTCTTTCCTTTCTGTTGTAGTAAATGAGAATTTTGGCTCTCTCACATGCTTCCTTTCCTCTTTCCCCTTTTCCCAATTTAGACTATTTTACTTACTTTATTTTAAAGCGATCAAATAATACTAGAACAGGAAGTTTGGAGGAAAGAAAAAAGGAGGAAAAAAAAATCACTCATAATCCCATCATCCTAATAGAACTGTTATTCTTTAGCATATTTCCTTCTATTTTTTCACTAGCTTATTTAAAAATATTTTTAAATGTTCTTATTTATTTTTGAGAGACTGAGCACGAGTAGGGGAGGGGCAGAGACAGAGAGAGACACAGAATCTGAAGCAGGCTCCAGGCTCTGTGCTGTCAGCACATAGCTTGAAGTGGAGCTCGAACTCACAAATTGTGAGAACATGACCTGAGCCAAAGTCAGATACTTAACTGACTGAGCCAGCCAGGTATCCCTCATAAGCTTATTTTTATGTAGGTGAACCTGTAGGGTCCAGTTAAATATTAGACACACATTGTCCAGTGTGGCTCGGCCCTCTTGTTTGTTACTTCTTTTTTTTTCTTTTAAGTTTATTTATTTTGAGAGAGAAGGAGAGAACACATGTGCCTGTGCGTGCACATACCAGCAGGGGAGGAGCAGAGAGAGAGGGAGAGAGAAAATACCAAACAGGCTGTGTGCTGTCAGCACAGAGCCTGACGTGGGGCTCAGTTCCACAAACTGTGAGATCATGACCCAAACTGAAATCAACAGTTTGACGCTTAACTAACTGAGCCACCCAGGCGCCCCACCTGTTTTTATTTCTGACAAGCTGACACTGTGTAGGCACATCAACACTTAATTGTTCCTTAGTTGAACTTTTAATTTTGTCTCTCTTGTCCCGATAACTGTACCTGTGCCCTTTTTTAAATATTAGGATTATTTCCTTATAGTAGATGCCCAGAAATGGGATGAGTGGATAAAAAGCCAAAAACATTTTTATACATATCGCCAAATTGCTTTTTCAAATAGTGACCACCTATGAGAGTGTCAATTTTACTAAATTTCTCCCAGGGTTATCAGAAATTTTTCTTTTTTTTTCTTCTTTTTTTTTTTTTAACAAATTGAGTAAGCAAAAGAGAATTCTTTGCTGTTTTCATTTTCATTAATTTAATTATCAGTAAGATTGAACAGTTTTCCCTATTTGCTTATTTTTTAACTGTTCAAGTGACATTAAACTTATATAAAGGTGAGATCACTGTCACCTATGCTGTGAACTTAAAGGCTCCTCTTAATATTTTTCATGTAACTCTTAAGTATTTATTTTTAAATTCTGCCTTCAGGGGGTGAGGGGGGATAAATAAATAAAATTCTGCCTTCAGGGGGTGAGGGGGAAAATAAATAAATAAATTCTGCCTTTGGGGTGCCTGGGTGGCTCAGTTTGTTAGGTGTCTGACTCTTGATCTGAGCTCAGGTCTTGATCTCGAGGTCATGAGTTCAAGCCCCACGCTGGGCTCTGCACTGGGTGTGAAGCCTACTTTAAAAAAAAGTAATAATAATAACGAATGAATGAATGAATCCTGTCTTTGATCTCCCCAAGACCAGCTACTTGTCATTTGCATTAACAGTCACCACCACCTTTTCCATCATGCAATAGAAGTTTATGAAGTTAACAATGCCTTTAAAGTTGAGTTGAGTTGAGCTCTCCTCTGCCAGTTCTATCCCTAGGCTTGGTGGACGCCTCATTGGGGGAATCTATCCAGTAGCACTCCAGACCTGGAAAGCATTTGTTTTAAAATAGTCTCTTTTCACGGTGCCTGGGTGCCTTGGTTGAGCGTCCGATTTTGGCCCAGGTCATGGTCTCGTGGCTCATGAGTTCAAGCCTCACATCAGGCTCTCTGCTGTCAGCATGGCGCTCGCTTCAGATCCTCTGTCCCTGTCACTCTGCACCACCCCTCTTTGTGCAGTCTCTCTCTCAAAAATAAATGTAAACGTTAAAATAAAATAATATAGTCTCTTTCCTTTCATATCTTCCCTATAGTTGTTCATATGACCAATTTCTTATTAACAGTCCCCTCCCCCCCAGCATATTTTGAGGATATTTAATATCCTCCAAAAGAGGATATTTTATGTACTCATCCAGCCATAATTATGGACAGCCTGCAGTGGCAGGTGCTTGGGTAGAACAGTAAAGAGAACAGATGCAGTTTGTGCCCTCTTGGTGCTGGTGCTGATGGTCGGGAGTGGGGGGAGGAGCAGACAGGAAAGGTGGTGAGCATTCATGGGTTTGATGATGTGGCGGGGAACTGCAGATCAAGTGATGGCTAAGGGCGAAGAGAGCAGAGATTGACGTGTCACTCACCTCTTTTGTCCTGATAACTGTACCTGTACCTTTTTTAAAAATATTATAATACTCTTGACAGTAGTTTTTCCTGCTTGTTTCTCTTTTGTTCTGGCTGCTAATCAGGTGTTATTGCCAACTCTATATCCCTCTCATAATCCTTTGCTCTCCATTTCTTCCAGTTTTTGTCCTATCACTCCATCCAACTGTGTTTTGTTGTGTCTCATTCTGTCTGCCTGACCCGTGTTCGCATTTCCGAACACCTCTCCCTCCTTCCCATATACTAGGTGTGGTACTCACGCTAGCGATTGCCTAGTGATTGCCTAATGATTGCCTGGCCTTAGCCATTCTCATCACCCTGCTTAGTGAGCCCCCTTTATCTCTTTCTTTTCAGGCCTCAGGTATTTACAAGCATTCCCCTTTGTTACTGCCCTTCCATCCTGGTTTCACCTATTTATCCTCTTTTTCCTGACAGCTATCCTTCTGTAAAAGAACTGGTGCCATTTGCATTTCCTCTTTATTCTTTCAGGCAGTGACAAAAGGAGTAAGAATACAAAATTGAACGTTAAAAAAATTTCAGAATTTTCAGAAGCAGATGTGGAACTGTCAGGAAGAATCCAAAGAAATGTTTCTCAAGTGCAAGATTTTGGAGAAGGCCATGAACACACAGGCAAGTTGGATAGAAAGCAGGGAGTTCCCATGAAAGAGATACTAGGACAGCCCTCTTCAAAGAGGATAAATTTTAGTGAAGTCACGTATGTGCACAAAAAACCACCCACAGGAGAGAGACCACATAAATGTAATGAATGTGGAAAAAGCTTTATTCAGAGTGCACATCTGATTCAACATCAGCGAATACACACGGGGGAGAAGCCATTTAGGTGTGATGAATGTGGGAAAAGCTATAATCAGCGTGTGCATCTGACTCAGCATCAGCGAGTCCACACTGGTGAGAAACCCTACACCTGTCATTTATGTGGGAAAGCATTTAGAGTGAGGTCTCATCTTGTTCAGCATCAGAGTGTGCACAGCGGGGAGAGACCCTTTAAGTGTAATGAATGTGGCAAAGGCTTTGGGAGGCGTTCACACCTTGCTGGGCATCTGAGACTCCACTCTAGAGAGAAATCCCATCAGTGCCATGAATGTGGAGAAATCTTTTTTCAGTATGTTAGCCTCATTGAACATCAGGTGCTCCACATGGGTCAGAGAAATGAAAAAAATGGCATTTGTGAGGAAGCATATAGTTGGAACTTGACAGTGATTGAAGATAAGAAGATTGAGTTACAAGAGCAGCCTTATAAGTGTGATATCTGTGGCAAAGCCTTTAGTTATAGTTCAGACCTTATTCAGCATTACCGAACTCACACTGCAGAGAAAAGCTATAAATGTGATATATGTAGAGAAAACATTGGACAGTGTTCCCACACAAAACATCAAAAAACCTACTCCAACGTGAAATCCCATCAATGTCATGAATGCGGCAGAGGCTTTACTCTGAAGTCCCATCTTAATCAGCATCAGAGAATCCATACCGGTGAGAAACCCTTTCAGTGTAAAGAGTGTGGAATGAGTTTTGGTTGGAGTTGCAGCCTCTTTAAACACCTGAGAAGTCATGAGAGGACAGATCCCATAAACACCTTAAGTGTCTAGATGTTTCTGTTGAACAGCTCTTATTCAAGTTTAGGGAAGCCTTCCTAAGAAAAACCCTACTCCTATATCAAATGTAATAACAACAACTTCAAGCATTTTCTCCAGCGTAACCATCAAACCTACAGATATGTTGAAATCCTTCAGTTAGAACTTAAGGACACTGGAGAATCCACAATAAATAAATAGAGATGTTTGCTTTCCTCATCGAGAAATGCTTTTGTTAGCATCTTCATGCTTAAGGATCTAGACAAGAAAGGACCCATGGATAATGGTGGATGAAGGAAAGCCTTGAGATGGCACTCATTCTTTGGATGAATCTCAGAACATTGACACTGAGAAAAGCCTCATGAATGCAGTAGAAATAAGCTTTATTTGTAGTTTCTGCCTTGTTTGACAGCTTCTTCAGGGAAGAGCACAGTGAAGGATAGAAGTCTAAAGCATGATAGCTGTTTTGGTACCTCAGCAATGAACCTTTTCTAGAAATGATGATCCCAGCCACTAGAATGCTCCAGCTGTTGTTTTCATCTTGAGTATTAAAGCTTTTGAAAAGAAATCTACTTAAGGTATTTATATTCTGGCAAAATTGGGGTTCAGAGGCTGGATGGTATGTGTTCCTACTGTATTATTCAGTCTCTGACTTCATGAAGCCTTCTCAATCTTGTTTTGTTTTGATTCTGTTAGCATCAGTTGGCTAGGAGTAAGAGGAGTTATGTGTGTAAATTCAGGAGAGAAACTGTGTTGGACATTCAAGCTTAAGGAGAAGGGAGAGGGGCCCTTAGGGGAATAGGGAAGAGAAGACCGGCCAAACTGTGGGCTGGTTTTTATTCTGTTACCCACAAGAAAGAGGGCAGCTGTATCCAGGAAAGGAATTGGACCAAGCTGAATTAAGAATCTTGGTCCAAGCAGCATGTGTAGCAATTCCCAGTTGCCCTGGAGATAGACCTCCTCCATAGGATAATGGTGTGTAGAGTAAATGTCAGTTTGAGTTGCAGTGGGGTTGGAAAGTAAATAGTAATTATTGGAAGAAAGGTACATGGTCTGGTTAGCCCTGCCTTGTGGGAAGGTCGGGGGGGGAAAGAAGATGACATGGGATAAGAAGGTAAATTTGAGCCTCTTTGCTAGAGACAGGGAGAGAGTGTGCTTCTGGGTACTGCTTCTGCTGACTGCTGGGCTTACCAAGAAACACTCAGTAAATACTTGTTGACTGTGTATGTTGTACCCTGGTGCCCTTCCCAGATCCCCTTACCCAGCTGGCCTGTCTGTCCCCCAGTTACTCTGACTCCTGGCTAGCTCAGTTGATGGAGAGTGTGACTTCTGATCTTGGGGTCATGAGTTCAAGCCTCAGGTTGGGCGTAGAGTTTACTTAAAACACTTTTCCTAAAGAGCACTCCCTCAACAAATCACATGGCTCTGAATCCCTTTCTCAGGCTCTGCTTTAGGGAATCTGATCTAAGACATTTGATGCCATGAGTGGTCCTAGGAGGCTGACAATAAGAATGGACTGTGGAGTTGGCCACTCAACCAGGAGGCAGTGAGGACCCCCATCACTGATAGTGGGTGGAGTATAGGTAGTTCCTGATGTGATAAGGCTGTTCAGTTGTGGGATATTCACTGTGGTGAACTGGGATGGGATACAGGTGGGATGTGCTGCCTACTTATGTGAGGTTTGGAGGGAAAATGAAATTGGGTGGCTCTTGCTGAAAGCCACTAGTTGCTTAAAGAGTCAATGACACCCTCAGGACAGATAACCACCAATCTCATGCAAACTGAGTATCAGAGGGCCTCATTGGTAGCATTTAAGGAGTCCCCTGCAAACAGAATCACAACCGAAGATGAGGTATAAGACTTAATTGAGAATAAAAACTCAGTGAAGACTGGTGTTAATGATTATTGAGGATTTACCATGCTCTAAACATCTTGTGCTTTATGTGGATCATCTTGAATCCTCACAACATTATGAGGTGGTTTTACTTAGCACCCTCATTTTACAGTTGGGAAAACTTGAAGTTTCGAATAGTTCATTCAGTTGCCCAAAGTCATGCAGCCACTGTATGGCAGAGCTAGCATTTGAACCCAGCCAGACCACTTTGCCGCCAAAGGCTAAGCTCTTAAGCACTAACCTGTATTATGTCTTATATTATTAAACATCAAACATTACAAAATGGTGAAACTCTGTTTTTGTTACCTGTGTGAAAAACAGTTTTGATCCAAGATATGATAAAGTCATACAGTTAAAGAACCTTGAAAATTGTCCCAGGTCCCATGGGATCATCAAACTCAACCTCCCACCTGATGGAAGAATCCCCAGTTTGCTGGCACACGTATGTAACAAATGCTTAATAACTGTGTTGAACTGGAGGAGACATTTCCTGGCAATTGGTTATCCAGTTTCTGCATGAAACCCTTCCAGTGGTAGGGAGTTCATTGCCTCCCAAGGCAGGCTCTTCCATTTTAAAACCCCTCTGTTTGCCAGAAATGTCTTTCTCAGCTGAAAACTATGTTGATGTATAGTCTTACAGCTTTCTCTCATTGCTTCTAGTTGCGCAGAAAAAAAGAAAAAGAAAATTAAGAAATTATGATTTGAATGTTTGAAAAGTTTTTTACTGTTACCTAGTCACCACATCCATCATAGCCTTCTCCAAACCATACTTCCAAACAAAGCATTGGAGTTTTACATTTTATTTGGTCAAGTTTGGGCAATTTAGAGCAATATTTGTTTGCTCAAGATGTTACTTCCTTTTCCTTTATAACACTAAAATGTTGGAAAGGATTAAGGCAAAAAAGGAACAGAATCTGTGTTCCAATTATCTCAGTAAATGGGTGCTTTAGAGCATGTTTGTGGAATTGTATAGAAGTGTTTTCTATGGTGCTGGGGCCAGAGACAAAGACTGTAATTGACTCTATAAAAAATTTGTGTTGTTTTTACAAAAGTACCAGAACCATCTGAATGAGTGCAACTAGGCCCCAGTCATTAACTTGAGGTAGTTTAACTAGGCCCCTGTCATTAGCTTGAGACACTTTCCCTGCAGAAGGAGCTTGTGACCTGTATCTTACACCCAGTAGGCTAGATGCCCCATTGGTTTATTTCTTTTGCATTGGCAAGGAAATGCTTCTAAACCTTGGTCTTTTCCCCAGACTGAGGAGGAGGCTAAATTCCCCTAGAGGTGTGAAGGAGGGCTCAGGGAGGCACCAAGACGGCGGAGGCCTCTACCAATGAGGTAGGATGGGGCTGGGGTGGGACTGCGAGGCACTTCCAATGGGCTTTCTTGGGGACATATAGGCATCCTGAAGGCCTGGTGTTCTGCTCACATTCGGAGCTCTGGTCTTCAGGTGGCAAAGGGGTCGCCAGATGCATCATCCGCACCCCACCCCTGGCCCCAGCAGGATATGGAGAGAAGTGCCTCTCCTACAGTTCCCCCTGCTCCCACCCATCCCAGCTTTATGCCTTGACAAACCTAAAAATGGAATCTATCAGGAAAGGCACTGGAGACAAAACATATGACATTATTCAGAATACTAGAAAGATTTCACCAATAAGTGCTATTCTGGTGGCTTGGACCTAAGGAGAAAGAACATAACCTAGAGAAGGTCCAGAAGAAGGAAACTACACAAATCAGGGTGGACTACAGATCTGAACCCATCACATCACATGTAGTAGAACTAAAAGATACTATTCAAAATCAGAATGATACAGGGAGAGATAAGGGTAGTAAAGAAGTACCTAAGAGATACAGAAGATATAGCAGATAAAAAATAAGGGATATTCAAGGATAAACACTAAAATGGAGGAACTAGCATGTTTTGGAATTGATATCAGGGACAATTTTATCTCTTTACTCTGTCTCTTGGAACCTCTGAGCATAATAAATCATGAGTTTGGTGCAGTATAGCAACTGTTTTATCCTTAGTGGGAAATAATACAAGTACAGTGTGTATCACTGATTGTGAGTGTGACCAGGAGAAAATAGGACCACATTAGCACAAACCCATCACTGTCTAGGTAAATTTCCACCTTAACAAACCACTAGGGTTAAAATCTTGTTTCTAAAAGAAAAAAGAAAGTTACATTTGTTGTGCCTCTGAGGATGTGCTTCTTTCTGTACTCAGTACCTTACATGGTATGTTGGTATGCTCCAGCTGACAAAATGCTGTTGACTGGGTGGCTTCAACAAGAGAAATTTATTTTCTCACACTTATGGAGGCTAGAAATTAGAGATCAGGGTGACAGCAGAGTTGGTTTCTACTGAGCCCTCTCTCTCCTTGGCTTGCTGACAGCTGTCTTCTTGCTGTGTCCTTATATGGGCTTTCCTCTGTGTGTGTGCACTCCTGGTAGCCCTTCCTCCTCTTAAAAAGACATCAGTCCTATAGATGAGGGCCAACCCTATCACCTCATTTAACTTTACTCCCTTGAAGGCCTCTTCTCCAAATGCAGTCACATTGGGGGTTAGGGCTTCAATTTATGAATTGGAGGGGGACACAATTCAGTCCTACTTAGGAGTGTTATTTACAATGTACTGGCTTGCCATGTATTTATAATGTGTACATTTACAATACATTTATAATAACTGCTTAGGAGTGTATCCCAATTCTAGGGTTGGACATTCTGAGCCTCAGAAAGTTAACAAATTGTCCATGGTCAGACTGGTAGTAAGAACTGAACCCAGAATTCATGTCCAGTTTTTTTTTTTTATTTTTTAAAAAATTAAAAATTTTTAAATTTATTTCAGAGAGAGAGAGAGAGGGAGAGGCAGCGTGAGCAGGGGAGGGTCAGAGAGAGAGGGAGACACAGAATCTGAAGCAGGCTCCAGGCTCTGAGCTAGCTGTCAGCAGAGCCCGATGCGGGGCTCAAACCCATGAACCATGAGATGACCTGAGCCGAAGTCAGATGCTTAACCGACTGAGCCACCCAGGTGCCCCTCATCTGTCTAGTTTTGAAGCCTGAGGTTCTTTCTCAGCAGCACATGGAGTATCTCTTTTCTTATGTGTTTCTAGGAGTATTTATACCCTGTTTATATGGTACTTTTAAGTTTCTAAAACATTGTCACATGGTCTTCAGAAGCTCTCCATGGAAAGTGTGCAGTACAGTCCTCATCTTACAGATGAAGACATGGAGGCACAGAGATAGGACTTGGCCATGACTTGTTATCTCTGAAATGGAGCCTGGAGTCTGGGGTCTCCTAAATCCGAACCTAGCTAGTGTACAGCACTACAGTGAGAGTAAAGGTCTTCTTCTGATGTTTTCATAGCTTTCTAATTACCTTGCTGGCAGCAAATTATGTGAACTTCACTCCCCATTCCAACATCTTCCCATGTATTTATACAGATACATGGGTGACTGGGATGTGGAAACTTGTTTTCCCAAAGTGGTCAATGCAATTCCAAACTGTCCCTGGTTAAATGGTGCTGGTGAGATACATTTATATATCATCATGAGGAGACAAGAAGGAAGCAGATATTTGATCCAGAAGTGGCAGGATTTTAAATAGAAAAGACCCCTCCTAAACTGCCAAAGCCTATAAGGATGGTGCTCCCATAAACTTGTATCTTGGAATTTGTCACTAAATCAGGAGCCAGAGATCTTGATTGTGGGCAGGGGAAACCAAAGCAGTCCTCATGGACAAAGAGAGAAGACTTGGTCTCTCCTGTCCCCGTCTTACCAATTTGGATTCTATTTCACAGGGTCATCCTGCTCCCAGACTTTACCACCAACCCCTAAACTCACCCTATACTCAAGTAGGGAAACCTCTCCTGATTTAAGCTGCTGTTCTCAGTATAACTCACTGAAATTCTGCCTGACTACCTGTTGATTATTTTGCAGTTTTCAAATCTCTCAGGCACTTGTTGCTTCCCTCTGCTTCCTTTTATACAATGGCCTGAAACCTTGTTAGTTTTGTAACTGTTGGTGGTACCCTGTCACATGGTTTTGCTGTAGATGATGTCCTTGAGTTTCAGTTTTGCTGTCCTAGTTTTAAAGGAGGGATTTGGGGAGATTGAAAAACTATGCCCCTATCACCATCTTCTCACTTGTGTCTGTTTGAGAGCAAGGACTACTTTCACCAAAATATCCTGACAGAGTGCCCTACGTATGTACCTCATTAGAATTGTATCTCATTAGCTAGAATTGTAAAACGTGCCCATGCTTTAAAAAAAAAAAAAAAAAGGTTTGAGGATGGTGTTAAGCTATGATTAGCATCAAAGATTCACTTCCTGGAATTAGAACAAAATAGGAAGAGCACACAAGCACAGAGATGGTGAGAAACTGAACCTGAATGGGGCTCTGCCTGAAAGAAAGAAACAAGGCAGCAGCGGTGGATAGGGGAATGGATCAGAGTATAAGACTACATGCAAAAAGGGCTGGTTTTCAAAACTGACAGTAATCCCCAGAAAAATATTTCACATTATTATTCTGGATACACAGTTATATAACCCATGTAGCTGAAACAAGTTTCATGAAATACTACACAGGAAAATGAAATGTAAATTCCAAATATAATTTCCTTAATAAATACAGTCTACCAAAGAAACCCTTAAAAAGTACAAAAACAACATTTCACAGCACTTTTCATTAAGCACATTTCATCGCACTTAATGCGATGGGTGTGCTTGCCTGTTCATAAGTTCGTTCCAGTCAGGAACACATGAGGATAGGGCTACACGCATGTCAGGTGCACTATTGAGCCTGTTTCTTTTCTTTGTTTTTAATCGTGTCAAGATGGAAAATCCTAGTTCACACAAATAGGTAGTTGTGAATGGTAATAACAGCAATATGCTCTTTCTACTAAGCAGTGGAAATTCATCTTTAATCTTAATCCAAAATGCTGACAGACTTAATGTCTTATAATAATTCCTCAGTGTGAATGATGCACTGAGCTGCAATAATTCATTCTCTTCTTCAGGCACCAAGTTTAACTCAATGATTGATTCTGGGGTTTGAAAAACAAAGGGATCTTTCATCCAAATATTTTCCTTTATTGATTCAAGTTTCTCTTCTGGAAAGTAATGATGAAAGGTTTGAGAGAAAGAAGTGAGATGCATCAATATCTCCAATTTTATTTCTTTTAAGCAGTCTTGATTAATAACGTTCTCTTCAGTATGCTGCAACAGTGTCGGGAACATATAGTAGCTAGGGCGATTGCTCTTAAGTCTTGCTTGCCACAACAATAATGTCTTTTGGAATCCTAGAATACATTCAAGATACTGAAATATATCATTGTTCTTCCCCTGTACTTTCAAATTTAATTCATTAAGAATGCCAAAAATATCACTTAGATATGCCAGTTTTGTTACCCATAGGTCATCTTCAAGAATATTTGCCAATTGAGATTGCTTTTCAGTGAGAAAAATGTAAATCTCATTCCTGAGTTCATATACTCTGCTCAATACTTTTCCTTGAGACAGCCAACGAACTTCTGTATGAAATAGTAAGGGAGTATGGTTAACTCCAATCTCTGAACAAAATATTTCGAGAAGCCGGCTGTTTAAGGAGCTTCCTTTAATAAAATTAACAATTTTCACTGTGTTTTTCAATACATCCATTAGACTCGGTGGAATTCCTTTGGATACCAAAGCTTCTCGATGAATAAAACAGTGATTCCAAAGAGCATTGTTATGTGTTACTTCTAACAACTTGTCAATAACCCTGCTATGCTTCCCAGTCATGTTGGCTGCTCCATCGCTTGAAATTCCTTTACAATTTTTCCAGTTCAATTTATATTGACCAACAATGCACTTTTCTAATTCAGTAAATAAATCTAAAGCCGTTATAAGTGAATTTAAACTTAAACAACACAAGAGATCCTCTATAAAGTCATCTTGCCACACATATCTGACATAAATCAAGAGTGTTGGGCAATTTGCAATATCCATGCTCTCATCAAGTTGGATTGCAAAATCTATACCAGACTGCAGCCGTGTAATAAGCATCACCTCTAAATGTTTTGCAATCGTACAGATTCGACGAGATATTGCATTATCACTAAGAGGTATAGTTCTTAATTTATCAGCTGATTTATCATCAAAAATTGTATGTACCATATCCACACATGCTGGGAGGATAATTTTTTAGCAGCTGTGTGAGCCATTTTCTCTTTTGCCACTCGATAGGCAACCAAATATGATGATAATAAGGCTCTTTCATTCATGGTTGTGGACCGACTAATAAGCTGTGGAGATATTTCTTTCCCTTTGAAAATGGTCTTCCTCATCTTCATCTTCCTCCTCCACTTTCACTATTACTATGCCTTCCATCTCCTGGGTGGCCTGTGGAGACAAATCTGCACCATCCGTTGATTCAGCAGTCATTGTTCAGGTTCGAAGAACTGGCTCCCTTGATCCAATTAAGTTCCTAGATGTTTTATGAGGCCAGGTTTTGCTATCCTGCAGAGCAGAAAAAAGTTAAAATAGTAATATGAAAAAGTAACATTGTATTCCTGTGCTGCTAACACCTCATGCCAAGTATGCATGAAGACAGTTCACTAAATCCAATGGCATGCCACAGTAAATGCTGGGTAACTGCCATTCATGTTAGCTGTGTGCAAGCAGATTCAGTACATCACATTATTTTATGTATACAGCTCATTTAATACCCACGGGAACCTTATGAAATACACCAGTACACATATTTTAAGAAGCTGAGAAAGATTAATGTGTCTAACAACATAGTGTAGTAGATTCACTACTCAAACCCAAGTCCAAAGCCCAGGGTCCTAACTGTGCTGCAACACTGCACCTAGTCACTATAAAAAAGCAATCTGTTGGGGCGCCTGGGTGGCTTAGTCGGTTGAGCGTCCGACTTTCGCTTGGGTCATGATCTCGCGGTTCGTGGGTTAGAGCCCCGCGTCGGGCTCTGTGCTGACTGCCAGCTCAGAGCCTGGAGCCTGTTTCAGTCTGTGACTCCCTCTCTCTCTGACCCTCCCCTGCTCACGCTCTCTCTCTCTCTGTCTCTCCTAGAAATAAAAAAAAAAAAAAGAAAAAAAAATTAAAAATAAAAAAAAGCAATCTGGGGGGGTGTGAGTGGCTCAGTCGGTTAAGTGTCCCACTTTGACTCAGGTCATGATCTCATGGTTCGTGGGTTCGAGCCCCATGTCGGGCTCTGTGCTGACAGCTCAGAGCCTGGAGTCTCTCTGCCCTTCCCCCATTTGTGCTGTTTCTCTCTCTCAAAAATAAATAATCATTAAAAAAAATTTTTTTAAGCAATCTGGTCACTCTTAAAGTGACCATCCAGGTATGGAGGACAGGATTAACCACTGGGCACAGAGAAAAAAAATTAAAACGTGTATTTATATTTTAAAAGTACTGAAACTCATTTAGCCTTTACTGATAGCTCTGGGTTTTGCTCCCCATCTCCCAGCACTTACATTGTTACCACTTGTGTTACTGCTCTTATCTTCACCTTCCAACTATTAAACTTTCTTTGCTCATTTCTCTCCATTTTTAGTGATAGATCTGAAAATTCCACCTGTCTCTGGTATTTAAAGATGAAGGAAAAGGTATCTTGGTCTTTGCCATCTCGGTCAAAGTTTTAAAGGCAGGGAAGGGGGAAATCACATGTTCCTAGACATATTCCCTCATGGTGGCATTAGGAGTCAAAATGAAGGGACTCCAAGAAATGAAACTCAAAGATAGAGTTTGGTATATGCATAGATAGATGGTATATGCATCTGGCCATGTGTAGCAACGTGGATGGAACTTAATGGTGTTATGCTGAGCAAAATAAGTCAGGCAGAGAAGGACAGATTCCATATGTTTGCATGTATAGGAGGATTAGGAGGAACTTAATGGAGGACCATGGGGGAGGAGAAGGGGAAAACTAGTGGGGGAAAGCGAGGGAGGCAAACCATGGAAGACTCTCGAATGCTGAGAACAAACTGAGGGCTGATGGGGGTGGGGGGGAAGGGTAGGGGGGTGATGGGCATAGAGGAGGGCACTTGTGAGGATGAGCACTGGGTATTATATGGAAACCAACTTGACAAACTTTTTAAAAAATGCAAAAAAAAAAAAAGAGGCCTGAGGTCAGGAACCGAGTCACTCCTCCCTTGAACAGGCCCACAAGGAATGGTATTGCTCATATTTTGGGCAGAGTAACAAAAAGACATGGTTTTATTTTACATTAAAATTTTTTTTTTTTTTTTTGACAGAGAGAGACACAGAGTGTGAGCGGGGGAGAGTCAGAGAGAGAGGGAGACACAGAATCCACAGCAGGCTCCAAGCTCTGAGCTGTCAGCACAGAGCCCAACACGGGGCTCGAACTCACGAACCATGAGATCATGACCTGAGCTGAAGTCAGCCACTTAACCAATTGAGCCACCCAGGTGCCCCTTACTTTACATTTCTTGAATGACCCCAGCACCCAGACCCCTCTCAACTTTAGACTCACTGAACTGTCTTCATTTCTAGTTTGGTATATGTAATTGTTTTTATAGCTTTTACCCTGAAATTTAATTTGTAATGCTTTCATGCCTTATCTCACCTAGACTGTCCCTCAAGTGTAGACTGTCTTTTGCTGTCGTCATTGCACTTCAGGCACTTTATGTGGTTCCTTGCAACCCATAGACTTAAAATATACTTGTTTGAATACAATGTCAATTTTCTGTTCATTTGTACAAAGTTCAACAAATTCATTTTAGGCCTGGTATTTCAACAGTTGGAAGGACATGTCATATATAAATTAAGAGATACTTATTTGTAAAACATCTGAATAAGAATCGGAGGAATATTATAGCAGTACAACTTTAAGGTACAGAAATAAATTATGTGTCTATGGGTAAGTTACTTATATATCTCCCTGAAAATAGTAAGAAGGTTTTGTTGACCTGCTTTCCATGTATTCTCCACAATTGATTGGTTGATTGCTTAGGATCTCTTCAACACTGATCTATTAAGTGTTTCCTTTGGTTCTCTGACAACTTCTCTCAATAATGAAAGTATCTTTCTGGTGGCAGTGCGGAAATGGAGGTGGGGCATTACGTTTGGCCCAGCTGGATTTTTCAGTTAAATTCATTTATCAATGAATCTCCAAGGTGGAAGGGCCCTTTGTGATAATGTAGTTAATTTTATGTAGGACAAAAGTGAGACTTGATGGGAGTTTTGTCCAAAATCATCCAAATCAGTGTCAGACCTAGCACTGGAAATGGCCTTCTAGTAGCCCAACACACTTTCCACTGCATCCTCACAACCCCCCTTCGTTACTCACCACTTCAAGTCAAGCACAATTACTGCCCACAACTGAAAAATTCACCTGATGTCTGAAATACGTTTAAAATTCATAAAGTTCAGGGGAGCCTGGGTGACTCAGTTAAGTGACTGACTCTTGGTTTCTGCTCAGGTCATGATCTCACCCTCAGTTTGGGCCCCACATTGGACTCTGCACTGTCTGTGTAGGCACTGTCAGTGCAGAGCCTGCTTGATATTCTTCCTCTCTGCCTCTCCCCCACTGGTGCTATCTCTTTCTCTCTCTCTAAATAAATAAATATACCATAAACAAATAAAGCTCAGAAACTGTAAGGGAAAGAGTGAAGTGTGGGTAATCTTTCCCTCCTGCATCCAAATCACTTTATTCACTAGGTTTCAAACACTAATTACCACCATTAATGGTGGTGGGCTTGAAGGTCAGCAAGTGATCTGCACACATTTAAGAAGCTTAACAAACTGGTCCCCTTATAAAAAAAAGAAAAGAAAAAAAGAAGAAAACCCCGCGGAGCTTGAAAGTCTTCCTCATTTTACATCTTAGGATCTCTAGGAACAACCCCCCCCCCCCAAAAAAAAAAACCTCATCAGAAGGAATGCAAATAGGGACAATTGGGAAACAGAAATTAGCCTCAGCTCCTTTCGTCCACCATCCCCCGGGGTGAAAACCGAGAAAAGAGGAGCCCAGGGAGGGCGCGCAGCGGACTGCCTCTTCCCGGTCCCAGAGGCATCGCACCCTAGCCGGGAAAGCAAAACGCCGTTCTCTTTCCGCTTGGATCCAGGGCTGTCTCTGTAGGGAGATGGCGCATCCTAGAGGTAGAGGCTGGGATTCAGGGTAGGGACATGGATCCTCCACCCCGTCGGGGGCGATGGTGGCGACAGGAGTTACGGAACACATTCACCTCTGTCCCCACCCGTCCTCCCTGACCGGACCCACGTCTCACCGTGAACCCCGGAGACATCTGGGGGTGCTGGGACAGAAAAGGGAGGGGATTCTCGGGGCGGGGTGCCGAAGAGCGGCGCCCTTGGACCCACACCCTCCGCTCGTCACAACCCTGAGTGCGCGCGCACGTCGGTGAGTCCCACAGAACCCGGAAGTGCGTCAACACCTGTTTTTCGGGACTGGGCTGCCATTTGGGGTTTGATCTAGGAAGGCGAGAGGACTGCAGCCTTGTTCCCCACTCGCTGAGTCCGGCTTTGGGGATCTCTCCTCTCAGCTCAGCTTTTCCCAGTGTGGGAGAAGGGAGCTTAAGTTTTCCTTTGCTACCATTCTGCTCGGATACTTACAGGTTTCTCCTTTTATTTATTTTTTTTTAATTTTTAAATTATTTTTATTTTTACTTTTTAAACATCACAAGTAAGATTTTTTATTTGTTGCCATTAAATGTCTGAATTTTAAACAGATTCTTGGACTGGTGGCTCATATCCATCAGATCGTTCAACTTTAGCACCAGTCTCATCCCCAGTAGCTTTTCCAAAACTACTACCTTCACCATGAAGCTCCATGAGCTTTCCCAATTCAAACTTGGGCTTCTTGAGCATTTTTACTTTTCTAACAAAGACATCATAGAGTGGATAAATAGACTGGCAAGCTTTTTATATGTCTTTACCAATGCTGTCTGGAATCAATTTATTGACCACTTCTTTCAAGTCATTTGTCTGCACATCTCGGGTCATGATTTCCATCATCTTTTTCCGAATTTGGCAGACCTGCTGGTGCTGAGCGTAAGAGGTCTTTCGAATCTGATTGTTGCGTTTTTTAGTAAAACCGACACAAAAAAGACGAAGCAAATACCCATCGGTAGTCTTGACATCAACATGAGCCTCAAACATGGTCTGCCATTTTTTGACCATGGAGCACATTTTGTCCCGGGTAAGATCCATGCCATGGAAATTAGTCAGGCAGTTTTTGCCCTGTACATCTTCAGTAATCAGCTTGAATTTCCTGAAGCAACTTCATCATTCTGCAGATCAACAAGGCTTACTTCAAACACACCACCCTTGAGGCTATCAGATGTGATTTTGATTCCTTGAGTTCTTGTGACTAGTGTTTTCCCCAATATTTCTTATATTAAACATTGCCGGTGCTTTTACATCATACCAATCTTTCTTTGAAAATGGATCAACCACTTTCTTCTTGGCCCCCTTTTTGCCACCTTTCGTAAGATGCTTGTTCTTGCCAACCGCCATGGCGCTGCTCAGGAAGCCAAAAGGCTGTTTCTCCTTTTTCTTATTGATGGCAGTAATCCTAAGAATTCCAGTTATCATCAAACCATACTACTACTTAGTGATTGTGTGTCTGTGTCAGGAACTGAAACAAAAATGTAGACAGAGAAATATCAACATGAAGTCAAGAATGGTTTCGCAAAACCAAAGTGGTTGCTTCTCTGGGGACCCTGATTATATATTGTCATTTGAATGGGTAGTTGTTTCAAAAATTTCATCTACAGCAATAGACATTCTTTCCAGTACTAGTTAGTTGTAAGATTCTGGGCTTGGCTAAAGTTACCAGGGAGTTTTCAGTGTAATGATAATGGAATTGCTAAGGTGAGTCGAATTTTTTTAAATTAAATTTTAAAAATGTTCATTTATTTTGAGAGAGAAAGTGCACACATGTGAGCAGGGGAGGAGAGAGACAGAGGGAGAGAGAATTCCAAGTAGACTGCACTGTCACTGCTAAGTCAAACATAGGGCTCGAACTCACGAACCATGAGATCATGACCTAAGCAGAAATCAGAGTCCAGATGCCTAATCATCTGAGTCACCCAGGCAACCCCAGTAAGTCAAACTTTGCTGTCAAAATGTTATCACAATAATTATGGCTTTTACCATTACTTTAAGAGTAGATCAAGAACCTCACCTTTTATAAAACTATAACTGAGACCTTGAAAGACACACCCTAAATTCCAAGACAAGTTTGAGCACAATGGAGAAAACCTACAAAAGGAATAGCCACATGCTACAGAGGCTACCAATGACCAGGTGATACTCTGAGTAACCTTCCAAGCCTTAAATAATATACCAATCTTGCTGACGTTGTCACTATTTTCTACTTCCCCATGACTCTTCAATAAACGACTTGAGTAAATCTTTGCTCCTCATCACTGGCTGGCTCACTAAACTATGGACCTCCTTGAAGACCTCTTGGTCCCAGAACTTCTACATACTTCCTCAAATTTCCTAGCAGTGTTCCAAGCCCTCTCCAAGAGCCATTCCATGGTTATGCATTGTTTTTCTTCTTTGTCTAAACCCTGCCCTCTACCCTTTGCCCCCAACCCCCATTCCTACACTAAAGTGCTTACAAGGTTCAGGAAGGTAGGTTATTGAATGCAGATGGTTGGGTGTGTTTTTGTATTTATGTAGTGTGTGTGGCAAGGGCTGTGGGGCCATTTATAATTACTCCATTCATTGCCTACTGATCTACTGGCACAAGGAACTCAAAGTGGCCTGGCTTCCAATTCACTGGAACATTTAATGTGTCTCCTAGAAATGTTCTTTCTGAGAATCAGAACCATAACCCAGAAGACTCTAGGTCTGAAGATAGGAAGCACAAATTCCACAAGTGAGTTACTGTATATTACACTAATAGGGGCCACTCCTGTTTTAACCCATTGGTTACTATACCCACATAGTCTTTCTATTGGAGACATAACACCATGTTATTGGTTCAATGCCTATCAATGCATATACTGTATCCAGGAGGATAGTTCTCCAACTTTGCAAGGTATAATTTAGCTGTGTCTTCAACATGCCATTCCATAGTTCTATCAGGCTTGCTGCTTCTGGGTGATGAGTAAGCACCATGAATTCTGTGATTACAAGTTCGTTGTTAGACCTCCTTGACTATAAACTGGGTTCCTTAATTTAAGATATGTCTAATGGATAAGGCATTCTATAAACCCTCAGATGATGGTGCCTGTGGAGACAAAGTAGTCAGGGAAGACAAACCCATATTTAGAGCATGTTTCAGTTCTGCTATAATATTTTACTTCTTTTGTATCTATTCATGCCTACTGTAATGGTGGACATATGGGAAAGATTAATGAAGTGCTCAACCTTTGGGAATAGTTGTTCACATATTTTTCTTTAAAGTAATAGGGGCGCCTGGGTGGCTCAGTCAGTTAACCGTCAGACTTGGGCCCAGGTCATGATCTCACAGTCTGTGGGTTCGAGCCCCACATCGGTCTCTGTGCTAACAGCTGAGCCTAGAGACTGCTTTGGATTCTGTGTTTCCCTCTCCCTCTGACCCTCTCCCACTCATGTTCTCTCTCTCTCTCAAAAATAAATAAACATTTTAAAAAATAATGTAGTGTAAGATAAAAATAAATTTTAAGAGTTGGTTAATTGTTGCCATCTATGTCATCTGAAGAACTACTGAAAGAAAATTTTACTCAAAAGCAAAATAATAGTCTTTAAAAACATTTTTTTTAAGTTTATTTATTTTGACAGAGAACATGAGCAGAGAAGGGGTAGAGAGGAAGAGAGAGAATCCCAAGCAGGCTCTGTACTGTCAGTGTAGAGCCTGACATGAGGCTCGAACTCACAAACCTTGAGATCACAACCTCAGCCAAAACCAAGAGCTGGATGCTTAACTGACTGAGCCACCCAGGCTCCCTGCAAAATAATAGTTTCTAACCACTCTTTGTTAGGGATTGGTGCCTACCGGAGAGAAGTGAACTTATAAGAGTGCCTCTTACTGAAGCAAACTGCCTGAGTCAGCTAAAACTTAAGACACAAATGCAGCACTGCCATTGTATGCTAACATGGTACAACTTGTGGGGAAATGGCAACTCAGGAAAGAACTCCAAACTTACAGCTATCCTAGAAGAGCTGTTAATGAACAAGAGAAATAATGTGTCATCTATTTTCCCAGGGACCTCAAAAGGTACAACAGATATCACTAGGGAGTATATTTCTGTTCAATACAAGAAGTTTCTAACTGCAGCTGTACAGCAATTGACCAAGCAGTGCATCCATCTTCTGTGACGCTGACTACCTTGCACCAGATACCATAGACTAAAGATTGTGTCACAATAGGAAGTTGCATTAGATCAATGACATTCAAGAAGGAAAGAAAGGGTAGGTAGGGGCGCCTGGGTGGCTTAGTCGGTTAAGCGTCCGACTTTCGCTTAGGTCATGATCTCGCGGTTCGTGGGTTCGAGCCCCGCGTCAGGCTCTGTGCTGACTGCCAGCTCAGAGCCTGGAGCCTGTTTCAGTCTGTGACTCCCTCTCTCTCTGACCCTCCCCTGCTCACGCTGTCATTCTCTCTCTAGAAATAAATAACATAAAAAAAAAAAAAAAGAAAAGAAAGGGTAGGTAGATCAGAATCTCCAAGAAGCTGATGTAATTTGAAAAAGCATACAGAATGCCACACTATTTTTTGGCTTTTCTTATACTTAATTTGAAATATCAAATATCACTAAAGAATAATACTTGATTTGTAATCTTAAAGGAGTAATATCTAAAGACCCTTGCAAATCCCTTTTTAATCTTTAAGACCCTTCCCAGGGTCACCTGGGTAGCTCAATCGGTTAAGCATCACTCTTGCTTTCAGCTCAGGTCATGATCTCACGATTTATGAGATGGAGCCTTGAGATGATGAGCTCTGCGCTGACAGGTGGAGCCTGATTGCAATCCTCTCTCCCTCTCTGTAAACAAACATTAAAAAAAAGAAAACTAAGAGTCTTGCCAGTCCCTAGTAGATCCAGTTCCACCATAAGACATCACATTCTCTAAGCATCCAGAAGGTCACAATGCCTACGAGACTTCTAGCACCTGGCCTGCCTGTCCATGTGCTCCATGCTTTACTTATCCCAGTTTCTGTATAGTCCAGTCTTTCCCCAGAAACGCAGCTGTCTTCCTGTCTCAATTTCTCTAACTCCAACTTGCTCATTGCCCTGTCTCTGTACCCGAAACATTAATAGATTCCGATCCTACGATTTTCTGTGGTCTTCATACCATCCAAGCGCCTTTCACTTTCGCTTTACTCAGTGTATTTCGTACCCCTGTGCTAGTTCCCCACCTGCTGAT